TTTGGCCCTAATAGTGAAGGCCTGAACTTACATGTCTAAAATTGATTGTTGAAACCAGGTTTGAACTTATATAAAAACTCGTTTAATAAAAAAGTATCAGTCTCCAATTCAAAAGTTCGGCCTTAAAGCCTCGCAGGCTGGCCTAATATACTAACTTTCATTTTCACTTTATATTTTTTATACTATTCATAATAGTCATATTCTCCAATTCAAAAGTGGCATTCATTTATGCTTATACTTCTCATAATTTTTAGTTTTTTTTAAGTTCATTTTTAGATGTAATCTTATTATATTTAAAATTACAAATGCAATTCACATGTGGGAGAATGTTATATTTATGAACTTTTTGTTTATAAAATCTTACAAATTACACTATGTCTGACCAATAAGACACTCTTGAGTAGAGTGACCGGTCAGACATAATGTAGTTTGTAAAAAAAAAAGTTTGTCAATATTACGGTTGGCAAAAATGAGTCAGGGTTGGCTCATAACCCGTGAAAAATGAACCGTTGGGTTGGCAAAAATAAGATGTCAACCCGACTCGAGCCAACTCGAAAAAAATGAGCCAACCCGCGGGTCAAACGGGCCAGCGCGAGGGTTGAGTTTTTTTTATAAAAAATACAAAATATAATATACAAAATGGACAAAACCCACACTCGTTGTCATCGTCTTTCTTCCTTCTCTAAACCTAAGTCCCTAATTTTCTCACATCGCTGCCATTTTTATATTGTTAGGTTGTGCTGGCTCTGTTTGGTTCAAATATCTTACCCACTTGATAGCAAGTGGTTATGATTGTTTCTCGATGTTGGTGTAAATTTATTGAGAAGAAAATTTGAAAGTAGAATATTTTGCTTTTACTTTCTATTTTGTAACTTTCTATTTTGCTTTTTTTATAAACTATTTTGTAAGATGTAACACCCCGTATATATCCGGTAGTGTTATCATTACATCGTATTAAGCGGTGCTTAATTAAAAATACGGAATATTCTTTTTCTTTTCAATAATGACGTCATTATCAATTACCATCTTGATTACTTAATCATTTTCATAAAATATCGCCTGTATGTAAATTGCAATAAGACATCTACTGAAATACCTCAATATATAAATAAGTGTGTATCTAAAATCACGGATCTACAACTCGTAGTCCGGACCGTATCCTGATACATTATTACAACTCCAAATAAAACAAGACATAAACAATACTATGTGTCATGGACAATCTCCATGCTCACCAAATAAACAGCGTAAACAACAAGTCTCAACATAAAACTCCATAACATAAACTGAAGCTATAAGCATATGAGCAGCATGCAAATCCAGCATCCAACATGTCAGCATAAATAACAGCAAATCTAACTCAGCTCCGGCCTCCTGCCGCCTGAGGTCTCAACATTACCTGACCCTGAAATAAGCATTCCCCAAACGTGGGGTGAGATCTCTAAACAAGAAATCTAGTAAGACAAGGGGTCCTCAAGGATCTTCCACCCCAAGCTCACTTACATGTGCAATATAAGTTCTAAAAGCAGTAATATCATTATCAGTTCCAAAACTATGTAGTGCAACAAATATTTATGGCATGTGTGTAATCACTATCTACTGGCTAGAGAAATGTAGGAATCCGTCTATTCCCTGCATGTAGTACAAGGAACACCGCTTGCACCTCACCCACAGCCTCACCCTATTGTATGTTCTACATACTCAGGCTTACCGTATAGGTGGAACACCTCCATACATATCAACAAGGCACTAACATACAATAGCTCAACAACATTTCCAAAACATCAAAAGCATGTAACACACCATGCATATACCATACCCCCATGGGACATGGTGGAACCACAACATGGCTAAACCGAGGACACGAAAGCTTACCTTGCAAGCTAACTATCCAAGGCAAGAGTCAACACTAGCTCAAAGCCCGCAAACAGTACAACCTCAATCTGTTTATACAGTAAGTAATCATCAATAACCATCTATCAAGGTTACATTAAGCGATTAAGGCTTTCCATCTCATTATAAGTCATTTTATGCATTTTCTGCATGAGGTATTCAAATACTCCTCGATGAGTATTCGAATACTCCCTGTCTCCAGAAAGTATTCGATTACTTTCATTAAAGTATTCGAATACTCGCAAGTATCCGAATACTTTCCCCCCCAGTATCTGAATACTTCAGTATCCGAATACCAAACCTTACTGTTTTCGAATACTTTCCAGTATTCGAATATTTCTTCAAAGGTATCCGAATACTTCTCTTCCCAGAAAAGTATTCCAATACTCCCGCAAGGAGTATTCGATTACCATGAACAAGTATTCGAATACTACACGAAAAGTATTCGAATACTTCTTCAACAGAATGCAGAAATTCGAGCCAACTTCTACGTAATCCCAAATTTAAAGGTCCAAAAGCGATTGGGAGTCCAATGACTCCCTAAACAGATATAACCCAACATGTTATGAACCCAGAAACACATTCCTTTACTCAAATGGTTAAGGTTCTTCTTTTTAGTTGATTAAATAAGCTTTAAACCTCAAAATGACAAAGAGTGTTCATGGTATACCTCCAAGGCACCAAAACTCCGAAAATGAGGCACCCAAGGGACACTCTACACAGCACCAAGGTTCTGACTTAAGCAAGACACGAATAGGACTACCAAGCTTGATCCTTTAAGCCAAAAGGTAGCTTCTTGAAGCTCAAGAAACCAAGAACAAGCTCCACTCACACAAACTCAGCAAGAACAACCCCAAAAAAGCCCAATACACAGCAAGCATCAACTCAGAAATGCTTCATAACTCCCTCACACTGTTTACAAGCTTAGTGTTTACAATTCTAGGAAGAAAACTCTCAACAAAGGTGACTTCTTGGTCCCTTTTCATGAGCAAAGGACAAGACTTCAAGGGGAGAAGAGAAGGCTGAAGGGAAGTCAGCAAAAGACTCACGTAGGCAGCCTCCAATATGGCCTAGGGTTTAGTGCCATTAAGCATTTATAGGTCCACTTAAAATACAACACAGTATTAACAATAATAGCTACGCTTAGCATTTTAATCCCAAAATTTGGAATCTGAATCTACTCATTTTTCCAAGAATAATCATATTTTTATTATATTTTTCCGAGCACCTTTCCGGTACGTGCTTTTCATAGCCAGTATCATTTTCTGGCACCAGTTCTCATTATATTAACTTGAAACTCATTTTACAAGTCCTATATAATATTCTAGTAATTATCATGCACTTTTCATAATTTTCTGAGATACTTTTTCGGTACGCATTTATATCGACTAGCATAACCGTTATCTGCACTTTTCCTCCGAAAAGCGACTTTCATCATTCTTAATCACTTACTATAATTATATAAGCCTTATAATAATTATTAAGGTCAATTATGGAATCATTTCCTATTTTTGCATAGTTAATTAATTAAATTCCTTAATTAACGGTGCGAGTTCTTACATAAGGCAATTGTATTATGTAAGCTGATGGAAGTCGCATAGCTGACACATTAATACTACATGTTCATTTAAATAGGCTGAAAATGAGCCAACATGCGAGCCATTTTTGAGCCAACTCGCGTGCCAATTTTTGAGCCAACCCGCGAGCTATTTTTTCAAGTCAATCCACGAGCCATATTTTTTAGCTAACCCACGAGCCAACCCTAATCCAACTTGGGTAGAGTTGGGTTGAGTTTTCTGGCTAATTTTCTTTCAGCCAATCCTAATCCAGCTCCTTTTTTTTTTTGGATTGCATGCGAATTGAGCCGGATTGGCCCGTTTTGCCAACCCTAGTCAATGTAACCCTACTCTTCACATATACCTACTAATTTATTTATAAAGTTGGCCTTTCGAATTCACATATACATTATGGGATATGATATTGTAACAACCAATTAGTTTTACTACCAATATTACTACCAATCAATTTTACAGTTAGATCGATTATTTTGATCCAACTGTTATATTTATTTCCATCTTTGTATGGTTATAATTCCCCGTATTTAATGTGAAAGCATTAAATATGAAAAATCATAACCATGCAAAGATATAAATAAGGCTTCGCTTTTTCTGCAGTTACTGCAGATAAGTTATCTGCAACAAGCCCAATACAACGTCGTTTTGGGACGGAAATCATGGTGTTTTTGTAATTTTAATTTATTACAGGGTTATTATAGTCTTTATAATTATTATTTTTTTAATATTTCAATCTCAAAACGACGTCGATTTGGGAGTAAATGCAGATAACTTATCTGTACTAACTGCAAAAATATTTTTCTGTATAAATAAATATAAAATATTAAATATGAGGAATCATAACCATACAAATATAAAAATAAAATATAACCGTTGGATCAACATAACGATCTAACGATAAATTAATTGATAATAACATTGATAGTAACACTAATTAATTGTTACAATATCTTTTCCGATACATTATTATCACATTAATTATCTTTATTATCCTTTCCCACGTCACTTGTTCCTTTCCCCGTCATCTCGTGCCACCTCATCACGCACAACTTCCTCCATCTGCGTTAGCCACGTTGTCTTATTTGAAAGGTTAGCTCCAGCTTTGATTATTTATTCTAGAAAACATGTTTATGTTTTTTTTAAGAAAAACAGTTTTATGTTTTTTTAAGAAAAACAATTTATAATATTGTTTTGTGAAAATCAATTTAAAAATAATATTTATTTTATGAATTTTAAAATAAAAATAAATGATCATCTTTTTTTTTTTATGATTCTATTCCTGAATTATCTATATAATTACTCTTAGGGCAGGCAAAAACCTTTTAAATTGTCCGTTTGTATTATTAAAATTCAATAGAGTTAAAAACCTTCGCAAAAACAAAGAGTCATGGGACAAGTACGTGATAATCCTACAACATACCATAGAGTCAAGGCTCAAGTGGCTTTATGACACCTTCATGTTATAAAAAGCCAGAAACTGCATTAAATTTATTCGCAGAAAAAAGCTATTTGAGGATTAAGGAGAAGCCAGAGATGAATAGCACACCCTCAAGTTCCATAGTTACAGTAACTGTTCTCTTTTTGAGGATCTTTACCTTTGTGTTCCTTTTGATTGCGCTCATACTCATTGTCATAGACAAGTTTGAAGATACAAGTGATTACCCAGAAGACACATATAATGAAACAGAGGAACTCAACTTCAATTTTTTGCATGCTTATCGGTAAGCGCTGTAATTTGTATTTCTCCATTTTATTATCCGATCGAGCTAATTAATCTTCTCATCTATAATACGACTTTGACCTTTATATGACTAGCAATGTGAGATTTTTACCTTTGTGTATTGCTAGACAAATGCTAAACGTTTTGTCATCCATTTTTGCACTGGACATTCGTTTTTGGAATGATCTAGACATATTTAGCCCATTTTAATTTTTCTTTCTTTTAAAAGATGTTTATATATATATATATATATATATATATATATATATGGGTTCGCTTTTTCTGCCGTTACTGCAGATAAGTTATCTAATACGACGTCGTTTTGGGACGGAAATCATGGTATTTTGTAATTTTAATTTATTTTAGGATTATAATAGTATTTATATTTATAATATTTTAAGATTTCAATGCCAAAACGACGTCGTTTTGGGAGTCAATGCAGATAACTTATCTGCATTAACTGCAGAAATATTTTTCCATATATATATATATATCTTTAACGTTTCTACAGTGAATGTAGAAAAGCTATCTACATTTTTTCTCAAAACGATGTTGTTTTGGGTTGAAAAACTAAAAAATTATAATGAAAAAGACTATTATAACCCTGAAATAAATTTTAATTATAAAAATTCCTTGATTTTTGCCTCAAAAATGACGTCTTTTTGAGCTCACCGAAAATAATTTAATTCCATTGACTTGGAGAAATCCTTTACTCATAAATGAATTCTTGAATATCAACTTTTGAAAAAAAAAAAAAACTTATAAGAAAATCAAATCCAATTTTTTTAATAAAACAATTTTTTTTTGGCTCTAACGAAAATAGAAATTAAAAATCAAATAATTTTCTCAAAATCAATATTCACCCCAAGGCCATACCTAGGGGAATTTTTAAAGTGATCCCGGCCTATTTCTTTAGAGTGGTCCTTTTTCTATTTTTGGAAAAATGGGCTTCCCTTTTTGCCTCTCACTTTTTTAAAAATTCTCTCTAACCCCCGTTCTTTTCTGCTTTTGGAATGTTCCATGTGTATCGGGTCTACCAAAATAAAGCTCCATACCTAGCCCCAATCTCAATAACCCTCTCATCATAGGGTTGACAAAATGGCTCGGCTCGGCTCGATAGACAGAGTTTTATAACTCGCCTAGCCCGTCATCTTTGGGCCAAATTTTTTGGTTTTTTATTTTTTTAAATATAAAATAGGTTCAGACTAGTAGATCGAATTTTTTAACCCACTCTCAAAAGCGGGATGGGACAAACTGATATATTTTTTTATAGTTGATGGCAAGGCAAGGCAGAAACAGCCGTTTGCTTTGTCACCTCTACCCACCACCACCGTCATCTTTGTCGCCATCGTCGCTCCCACCCCGTTGTGGTTGCTGGAACCACTAGATTTTATTTTCATAATTTACTTTCATATGTACATGTCTTTTTCAATAATTTTATACATAAAAAGTGTTTTTTAATTTTAATATCTAAATAATTTTTTAGTTAAATAAAAAAGAACCCGTTGTACTATATCCGATTAAATGACTATTACTCATAGGTTCATTTCAATTCAAATTTTGATAAATTCCGAAATCGGACTTGGAAACATCATTGTCTCGTCCTCAAATATATTGAGTCACATTAAAAAAGAGCGTAGGAAATGTAACAAAAAAAAAGAGTGTAGGAAAAGGTGAGTATAATTTGAATATCAGAAAAATATTTCTTCAGTTAATACAGATAAGTTATCTGCGTTTATTTTTAAAATGACGTCATTTTGAGATTGAATAATTAGAAAATTATAATTATAAAGACTAAAATAAATTAAAATTATAAAAATATAATAATTTTCATCCCAAAATAATGTTATATTAGACTTAACGTAAATATAACTTATTTACGGTAACCGAATAAAAGTTGAACCCTTTAAATATATACAACAAGGGAGAAGTAGAATTATTTTACTAAAAATGTGCTGTTCAATATTATTTTGGGATTAGTGAAGACTTTATCAATGAAATAACCAAAATACCCTTTGCGACAAAGACGGGGTCCTACTCCTACCGAAAAGAAGCGGCTCCTTCATTAGTGACTCTTACGGTCCCTTACTTCCTCAGAAATCATTAGTAAAGTCATCGAAATAGATTAAAATAACATTAAAAAAATCATATTGTTTTGTTCTTTCCTTCTTTACTAATTAACTAGCTACAATTTTGAAAATTTAGATACATGTTATCCACAATAGTCATCGGATCTGCGTATAACCTCCTGCAAATGGCGCTCTCAATCATCAGTTTGGTCACAGGAAACCGTGTATTTAGGGGTAATGGTGGCTATCTATTTGATTTTCTTGGTGACAAGGTACATCATGCTATAACAAATCTTCTAGCGTATGCAATATTGTTGTTCTACAGATTAAATTAAACAACCTTTGCATTATTTCCTTGGACAGATTATATCATTCCTTCTAATTTCCGGTTCAGCTGCTGAATTTGGTTTCTCTCTAGATCTGCCAAGGATGTACGAATTAAATCATTCCATGAAGTCCTTTTTGGAAAATGCAAACATCGCAGCTAGTCTTCTTCTTATTGGATTTCTGCTCACTGCCATCGCATCAATTTTCTCTTCGTTTGCTTTCCCAAAGAAAGCTTAACTTCATGCAGAAGATGATGTTCACGGATATTTTGATTCTTTTGACCCTTCTCTAGTTTGGTTTAGTTCGATTTCTTTGGTGTTCAATCAGTTGAAAGTTACGGTGGATTTGTATCTTCCTTATTTATCTATATTATTCCTTCATAAGATACGCAACAAGTGTATTAGTTTTTCTCTTGCTTTTGTTTCTATTTAATCCAATGCAGAGGTTTAAATTTATAATCTCGTGTATAAAAATAATTCTCACCAATAAGCCACACTAGTGATTTTTCTCCACTTTTATATCTTTATTCTCTTATCAATAAGTTATAGGAATTTTTTTAAAAATGCCCCTAAAGTTTCTCTATGCCCTTAACCTTTTTTTAAAACAATAATGCCCTTAATGTTTAGAACAAGAGAAAAATATGTATCATTTTAAACGACGTAAAATTATATCATTTTAAATGAGAGAAATAGATAGACAGAGGAGGAGAGAGATAGGACAAAAAAAATAAACATGTGAGTCCCACATCTTTGTGAGAGTAAAATGATATATATAAGTTGTGTCATGTAAAATGACAAATATTTTCCCCCTCCGTTATCCTGAAATAACATCTTATATTTTATCGCATCGTGACTATTTTACCCTCCAATTGTCTAAAAACATTAAACAATATAGTTTGGCTTCTGCCTTAATTTCCCCCCAAATATTAGGATTCCTTCATGAAGAAGCTTTTACATTCATTTTTCCCTATTTAATTGATATTTTTTTTTAAGCTTTTTATTTAAAAACTACACTATGTACTTTGGGAGTATAAGCACTTAAGTGTATACTCCCCATAATGCATAGTGATATTTGTAAATATAACTTACTCCAAATAAAAAATATTTTCTGTCTTGAAAAAAAGGAGTATGCATCAAATACAAAGGAGGTTTCTAAATAAAATAGACCTATGTTGGCCTATATATCCAACGTAATATAAAGAAACCAGGGCCATTCAAAGAGGTGATATTGGATAGAATGGGAACAGATGAATATAGAGAGATTGTGAGAGTTTTAGAATTTGAGAATATTGGGAATATTGAAAGGAAGATGAGGAGAAAGGAAACAAACAAATATTGGGCTGAAATGTTTAAGCCTGCCTCTTTCTTCCAAAATAATAATAATAACAGATGGGCCTAAAGTGGAAATTTGCTCTCAGGGCCTTTAAAGCCCATTTGACTTTAAAATTGTTCAGATTGTCTATGAGATTTTTTTTCTTGTTTTTTCATGTGAAAAAATAGAATTTATTATATATTCTAATTAGAAATAAGATCCGTAACAGAAAAATAAAAAATGAATAAAAAAATATTTTTAAAGTAGATAAAGTTAAAAAAAGAATAAGATAAATTTTTATTTTTGATAGGATTATTTAGATTTGACTTATTATTTGATTAGCCGTGTTTTATTTTTCTCAATAACATATTGTAATTTTAAAAATATGTGTTTGGTTTATTTTAAAATGGTTAGCATCCTTTATAAATATATATATATATATATATATATATATGAGCTAATAATTTAAATGATGCTAAGTTGAACTATATATAACCTAGTTCAATACTATAAACACCAAAAAACTTTTGTCAATTAAAATAATAGTTGACAAATGCGTTAGCATTAGCAATGATTCTTTTTCTGCTGTGTTTTGATTTGGAGTACATTAATAAACAAGAGACAGGCTTTCAATAATATTATATTGTAAATATAATAATGAAAATGTATGCTTGGCGTTTCTCTCTTTTCAATGAAGCTACAAAGTACGAACAACTTGGTTGCAGTTTCACACTGTTGACCCATACGAAAATGTAATCGCGTCAATAAAGCTTACACATTTTTTTATCAAATGATTTTATGACATTTTTCTTCAAATAATGATAAGAGAAGACGATGCACTTAATCCTCGGTTAACTTATATTAAAATTATAAAATAAGTAAATATCACATGAATTTTACTAATAATTTTAAATTCAGGTAAAAAATATAAAAAATTGAAAGAGAAAATTACTTTAAATTATTTCTCAAAATGTACTTTCTTTATTTTGGACAAACTACATATGTCTCTCACAAGAGATAATCTTAATTGAACCTGATAAAATTCATATTATGATGAGGCTAACTCTTTCAAATAATTTTTTTTTTTTTTGCATTCACATAGAATTGAATCCAAGACCTAACTTAAATAAAATCAAGCATGTACCACTTGAATCAATTCCTTCTTCTCTCAAAATGTACTTTAATTTAATATATAATGGTGAATTAATTTTTTAAATAAGTGAAATTATTCATCGCTTAATTTTATAGGTGTAATTGTTTGATGAAGTGTATAAAGTTCTACAACACACTATTATGTAATGCAAATGTCTTAATTCTTATAGATACAATTTACTTGTTATCAGAGCTAATTATATATTATACATTATATAGCTTTCTACAAAGAGCCATTCCGAAGAGGTCAGATCTTCAAACCAAACTACATGTACAGTTTGTTTTTATGTAGTTTTTCGCTCTTCGTAGTTTGTTTTTAACAGGTAACAATAAAATTTCAATTCCGTAATTGGTTTGCTGTAGAATGTTTATGTACTCATTTTTTTTACAATTTGATTCTATGTAAATATTAGTCACAATTTTTGGTTAAAGATTCACGGAACGTGCAAGTCCTACACGATCTATATATATGAAATTGAAAAATAAAAAATAAAAAAAGTGATATCGAATCAAAGTCATGTAGTAAATATTACTCAAGACACAAATGCTCCAGCTAATTAATAAGTCTACCAATATGTGAAGTCAATGATATCAAAGAATGAGAGCTTTCGTAGAAACTTTTAAGCAACCACAGATTTTAGTCAATGAATTGGTTCAGCACGTTGTAATGGCACCATTTTCAAGTCACCCATTTTTATTTTATTCCAATTCATTCTATCTATCTACTTGGCCAATTGACTTTGCCCTTATCCTAGGTAAAGGGGACTAGCTAGAACACCATAATGTTATAAAAGGCAAGAAGTTGCACCTACTTTCTTCGCAGAGAAAAGAGAAGTTTTTTTGAGTGCTAATTAGAAGCCTGAGATGGATAGCACACCCTCAAGTTCCACAGTTTCAAGAACTGTCCTTCTCCTTTTGAGGGTCTTAACCTTTGTGTTCCTTTTGATTGCGCTCATACTCATTGCCATAAACAAGCAAACTGAAGACACAAGTGATGGCCCAACGGAAGCCAAGTTCAATGATATCCATGCTTATCGGTAAGCTTTGTAGTTTGTATTTCTACATTTATATTATCTGAGCTATTTAATGTTCTCATCTGTAATTCAACTTTGACCTTTATATAACTAGCAATTGAGAAGGATTTCTACCTAAATCTAGTTATGATTAAGAATTGGTTTTCAAATACTTTATACAGTTGTATTTGTTGCTAGGCAAATGTCAAAATTTGTCATCTACTTTTACCTTGCATTAGACAATCATCTCATGTTAGTACTGTAGAAACGACCAATAAGAGTGATCCTTGTCAGATAATATATTTCCTAAAATAAGCAACTTTTTTTTCAGAATACGGAAATAGAACCTCTCATGTTAAAAAAACATGACATTGTCATGTGTAAAGATCACAACTATACAAAGATGAATCAAATTATGATTTTGTAATTACTTATTTCAATATTTTTTCTCTCTTTCTTTATTATCATTGATCCACCTTTCTATGATTATGATTACTCACATGACCATATCATATTTTTTTAACACAAGAGGATCCAGATACCTGAAATACATAGTTTGTAATTTTATTTTGAACTACCGTTGCACTGATGACTCAGTGCAACAGATGTACGAAAGATTTTTTTCTCGTACACACACAAAAAAGTAAATAGGATCCACTAAGGAGAAGACAAAGAATAGGTCCCATCAACTTTTTTGTTTGTTATGAGATAATTTTGTCTCATGCAACATGAGAAATGCATTCCCTTTAAATTAGTATAAAAAAAATCATATAGTTTTTGTACTTTCCTTCTCTATTAACTAGCTACAATTTTGAAAATGTAGATACATGATCTCCACGATAGTCATTGGGTTTGCATATAATCTCCTCCAAATGGCACTCTCAATCTTTAGTGTGGTATCAGGAAACCGTGTATTAAGCGGTGATGGTGGCTATCTGTTTGATTTCTTTGGTGACAAGGTACATTATTCCATAACAAATCTTCAAGTTTATATAATAATGTGGTTCGACAAAACTAAATATTCTCTTTGGCCTCAATATATATATTCATTTTAAACAACCTTTGCATTCTTAATTTCCTTGGACAGATTATATCATACCTTCTACTTTCGGGTTCAGCTGCTGGATTTGGTGCTTCCGAAGATCTGCACACTTTATTCAAATCAATAGATCTTCCCTTCAACTCCTTTTTTGAAAAGGCAAACGCCTCAGCTAGCCTTCTTCTTATTGGATTTCTGTTCACTGCAATAGCATCAACTTTCACTTCCTTTGCTTTGCCAAAGAAAGCTTAGCTTATTGCAGAAAATGATGTTCATTTATTATGATTCTTTCTTCCTTCACTAGTTTGCTTCAGTTTGTATCCTTTGGTGATCAATCGTGACTTCTTGTGGATTTGTATCTTCCTTAATTGTCGATATTTTTTCCTTCCTAAGATCTGTCGCAATTGTACTTGTTTTGATTTATTTATAAATAGAATGGATTTATTTTAAAATATTGAATATACAAAATATTATACATGTGAGTAATTGCTTTCCTAATAAAAAGCTATTTATTTTTAAAAAAAAATAAGATACAAATGTATCCTTTAATATCACAAACAGAGCCTGTATCAAAAAAAAAAAAAATCACCAACAGAGCAACACACCATTGACCACTTATTTGAGCTTGCAAGGCATGTGTTCCTAGCAATGACTTACAGATGAGCATAAGCAATTTTAGCAACATTTCAACCTATGTAAATAGAACCATTGTTTCCGTTGTTCCTTTTCTTCCATGCTCATTTGATTTGTGATATTGCTTCACTAAAGAAATACTGTCATACTGGTACGGGTTTTATAAATGATTCATCCTTAATGGCCAAAATAATAATGATAACAACATCAAAAACAACAATGCACACTACTGTTGCTATTCGAGTGCAGACTGGGATTATTTTGTTGAATTTTTTTTTTTGGAAACACAAAAAAATAAAAAAAAATAAAAATTTCAACAAAATGAATAGTCAGGCTTGAGGCTGCTTAAAAAATGAATGATGAAACTGTCCATTCTACACAATAACCTTACCCAAAGAAAAAAAAATTGCTCTTCTCAGTTCTCATTATTACTTCTTCTTCTTTTCCCTTCACACTGTAATGCATTTATTAAATAAGTCGAAACGAAATGACTTCAGCTGCTCTCAGCGGGTCTAGGAGAAGTGTAAGAACTCGCATCGTTAATTAAAGAAGTTAATTAATTAATTATGAGAAATTAGGAAATAATTTCGTAATTGACCCTAATAATTATGATAAGGCTTAAAGAATATTGGTAAGTAATTAATAATGATGAAAGTCGCTTTTCTGACGAAAAGTGCAGATACCGATTCAGTTACTCAGTATAAATGCGTACCAATAAAGTATTCCTAAAAATTATAATAAGTGCATGAATATACCTAGAATAATATATAGGAATGTGATTTCAAGTTTCAAGTTAAAATAATGAGAACTGGTTCCAGAATTGATACTGACTATGTAAAAGCGCGTACCGAAAAGGTGCTGCAAAAAATAAAATAAAAATATGAAAAATCTTAGAAAAATGAGTAGGTTCAGAATCCTAAGTTTGGGATTAAAATACTAAGCGTAGATTTTAGCGCTAATACAGTGCGATTAAAACTTAAGTGGCCTATATATTGCCTTGGCACACACTTCTAGGTCAGATTTTGTTGCTTCATACGTGAAGTTTCTGAGGTGAGCTGCTGCCACCCTCTTCCATGGCCTTCCTTGCATGAGAAACTCTCCAAGTCACCTTTTTTCTTTGATTTCTTCATCATCTCTAAACAAGTAAACACTTGGGTGTGAGTCTTAGTGAGTGGGAAAGGAATCATCTTCTGAGTTGTGGGTGTTGTGCGTGTGTTGAGAAGGGGATGACTTCCTGGTGTGTGTTGTGAAAGCCTTTGTCTTGGTGTTTTGAGCTTCAAGGAGTGGCCTTTGATAAGAAAGGACCCTTCTTGGTATGTCATTTTCGTGCTTTGTGAAGTCAGAATCTTGGGAGCTTCATAGAGAGCTCCAAGAGCATTCCTTTTCTGTTTTGAAGCCATGGGTAAGTTGTTAAACTTTGATCATGAGTTTTCTTTACTCAAAGGTTGAGTCTTGGCATGTTAATGAGTTAAACAAGTAACCAACCAGTATATGAACCTAAAAGAGAATATAAATGCATGCTTGGACGTTCTAGTGGGTTAAAAGTTGAATCTTTGGAGTGATATCTCGCGAAATGCAGAAACTGCATTCTGTCGCAAAATATCCGGATATGGGGTCTTGTGATATCCGCATATGGATATCCGGATATGCGATATCCAGATATGTCTCTGACAAATATCCGGATATTCTGGGTTTTCGAGAACAGTAGCGGTACTGTTCATACAGAAGGCTGTTTTGGGTTTGTGGACCCTAGATTGCTGAAGTTGAACTTCTGTATCACTTAAGCTAAGTCAGAATCTATGTGATTAAGGGCTTATGAATTTGTGAGAAGCCTAAAGACATGAAACGCAAAGGAAATGTGTGGTCTTTATATCGTATGCTTGTTGTGCTTGAATATTGATATAATCATTGGTCCAAACAGATTGTGATTGTGCTGTGTGTGGACTTTGAGCTTGGTTGGACTCTTGACTTGGATAGTTAGCTTACAAGGTAAGTTTTCGTGTCCTCGGTTTAGCCATTGTTTGTTCCACCATGTCCCATGGGGAGATGGTTATATGCATGATGTGTTTTCATGTACTGTTTTATTAAAATGCTATTGAACTGTTAAGTGCAATTGCTTTATGATATGTATGTGGTGTTTCACCTAGACAGGAAGCCATGGGGTGGTCCTGTGGGCGGGTACAGCATGGGCATGTACCGTGTGGATAATAGACGTATTCCTACACTTCTCTGATCAGTAGAATAGTTATAACACACATGACATGATTATCTGCTGCATTGCACTGGTTTTGGAACTGATATTGAATTACTGCTTTTAGAACTTATATTGCACATGTAAGTGAGCTTGGGGTGGAAGATCCTTGAGGACCTCTTGTCTTACTGAGATTTCTGTTTAGAGATCTCACCCCACGTTTGGGGCACTATTTTCAGGTTCAGGTAGTGTTGGGTTGAGACCTCTAGCGGCAGGAGCCGGAGCTTAGCTGATATATGCTGTTTATGATGATTATGCTTGGATGCTGGTTTATGCCTGTTGTTATTTTGCTGTTAGCTTTATGATTATGTTGCTGTTGTTGTTGAGACCTTGTTGGGCTTGTTGCCTTATTTGGTGAGCATGGGGATTGTCCATGCCATGTTGACTTGATTATGTCTTAGTTTAGATTCAAGTTGTAATAATGTATTAGGATTATGTCCGAACTATGTGTGTAGTTCCGTGATTTTAGATACTCACTATTAATTATATATTGAGGTATCTCAGTTAGCTGTCCTTTGCAATTTTCATACAGGCAATGTTTTATGAAAAGAATTAAGTAATCAACTTGGTAATATTAATGACGTCATAATGGAAAGTAAAAAGTTATTCCGCATTTTAAATTAAGCGTTGCTTAATACGACGACATGTTAACAAACCGAGTATACACGGGGTGTTACAAGAAGCATGTGACAGGGACTATCACGAAGGGGCTAAGTTAGACCATTCACATCGAATTGGGTTTTTGGGTCTTTTCATTTATATGAACTTCACTTAGTGACTCATCATACTTGAATATCATAATAATATCTCTACAAGTATGCTCAACATTTATATGTTCCCCCTCAACCAAGTACCTAAGCCCAAAATACTCAACCCGCCACTAGTCAATCATGGCTAGCCAGAGTCCAATTCGACTCTGATATCACTATCAGACGAATCTACTAGAGGAGCTCATGGTGGGAAACCACCGCCAAAGATCGGAATTATATTACATGCGCAATTAGTATTAACAAAAACTGAAAGATCGGAGTTATAGGGCCCAATTTTTTATTTTACGCAAAAACTCCAATTGCCTGGTATTCCAAGTTGACGGTGGCTATATTTGTTTTTTTTCACGAGATTTTTAGATGGCTGAACAGTTTATGCGTTGAGACTTGAGATTATTCATTGTAGATTTATGATGGGGTGTAATACTATGAGTCATGAAGTATTTCAATATAATAGTATCAAAGCTCAATGGAGTAAGGGGAGGTGCCTCACGGTTTGATGGCTCTTGGGTTAGAGTAATTAACAAATGATGTGTAAAAGCTCGAGCTAAAGAGAGATATTTATAGGTTTATTGTTTGTCATTTTAAAAGATATAAAGTTATATTCTTTAATCCCTTGTAATCATGTATTTCAAGAATATATAATTATAATATAAAAATTATTTTTTCTCTTTTTTACGTCAATCGACAAATTCGTAAAAAGTTGTTGAAGAGAGAAAAAAAAATAATTTTAATATTATAATTATATATTTTCCAGAGTACATAGTTATAAAGAATAAAAAAAAATATTTTTATATGCTTTTAAAGGACACATTTTTTTCTGATATTTATAGGTGAATTTTTTTTTCCCAATAATAAGTAAGAGAATGAGTCATAATAACCCTAATATATCTGAGACAAAGTATACTAACATGAACAAAAAGTGAGATCTTTCACAATAAGGATTAAACGTATTATTTATTCTTTTATAACTTAAAAGTCTCATTTTGTTTACCAAAAAAAAAAAGTCTCATTTTCGCCATACATGACAGTTCTGACGTTTAATATGAGCAACGCCGATCCATTGGACCGGCTAGAGTTACCAATCCAAAATAGAAACCATTCTCTACGCTCCCACTACAAATAAATTAAACCTCATGAATGAAAGAACGATTAAGATTGGGGTAAATTGATCCTTTCGTGTAGACAGACAGCCGGATTAAGGTTTGGAAATTGACGTGACTAGCAGCCATCTAGGGTGTGCATTTTGATTCAAATCAATTAAGCTTTTAAACATTATAATTGTTTTCTTTCAGACAAGAGGTGTATTTGAATATGAGCATTGTTCCTAAATAAAGAGACCATTGAGGTGATTGAGCAAACTATTGGAATTAACAACTTGTCTCCAGATGTCGCTCATTTCCGAATCAACTGTTCATTATTTTATTCCGAATCATTCTACATATCTACTAATTGACTTATTGTCTTTGCCCTTATCATATAGGTAAACGGGGCTTGCTAGAACACCCTCATGTTATAAAAGGCAAGACGTTGCACCTACTTTGTTCGCAGAAAAAAAGAAGCTTATTGAGTGCTAAGGAGAAGCCTGAGATGGATAGCACACCCTCAAGTTCCAGAGTTTCAAGAACTGTCCTTCTCCTTTTGAGGGTCTTAACCTTTGTGTTCCTTTTGATTGCGCTTATACTCATTGCCATAAACAAGGTAGCCGTAGACATAAGTCATCGCCAACTTGAAGTCAAGTTCAATGATTTTCATGCTTATCGGTAAGCATTGTATTTTGTATTTCTACATTTATATTATCCGAGCTTTTAGGGTTCGTTTGGACGATTTTTTTTTTTTAAAGAAAAATGCTTTTAACTTAAAATCTGTTTAGACGTCTGCTTTAATAGGAAATAGAAGTCACAAAAAAAATTAAAAATATTTTTTTTTTGGAAACTAAAAGTTTTAGATTCTAAAAAAGACAAGAATCAAAAGTCAAATTATTTTAAAAAATCTAAATAACTTTAGCTTTTTTTAAGAAGCACTTCTAAAATAAGAAAGATATAAAAAATACTTTTTTTAAAAGGTGAAAGAAACTGACTTTTAGTGTTCTCATCTATAAGTCAACTTTGACCTTTCTATAACTAGCAATGTGAGAAGGTTTTCTATCCCAAACTAGTTATGATTAAGAATTGGTTTTCACATAGTTTATTCGTTTATATATCTTGCTAGGCAAATGCCAAAATTTGTCATCTACTTTTGCATTGCGTATTCGTTTATAGGTTAAATTAAAGGTTATAGTACACTCATATTGTATGAGAGTAATATAATTTTTTATAGATCCGCTGATTTTTGTGTCTATCTTTTTATTTTTTTTATAAATAATGAGACACACCACATAATTATATTTATAACATGAAATAATATATCTCTTATTGTATAAGAGTAATATAACCCTTAAATTAATAAAAAAAATCATATAATTTTTGTTCTTTCCTTTTTGAAAATGTAGATACATGATCTCCACGATAGTCATTGGGTTTGCATATAACATCGTCCAAATGGCACTCTCAATCTTCAGTGTGCTCTCAGGAAACCGTGTATTAAGCAGTAATGGTGGCTATCTGTTTGATTTCTTTGGTGACAAGGTACATTATTCCATAACAAATCTTCAGGCTCATGTAATAATAATAGGTTACCAAAAAAAAAAAATGTTCGACAAAAGTAAATATTCTCTTTGGCCTCAATATATATTTATTTTTAAGGGTTAATTGTTTTACCAGTTACTGCAGGGAGAAGGATCCATTTACAATTTTTTTTTTTTACAAATTACATTAAGTATGATCGGTCATACACTCTTGATTGAAGTAGTATGACCGGTCATACTTAGTGTAGTTTGTCAAAATTTATAAAAAAAAAATTATAAATATAACATTCTTCTTGATGGAGAAACAATTAACTTTTCCACTAAGAGAATAAAGTATGGAGTCAACCAATTTTTTTTTAAAAAAAAAAATGGAATTTTCGATGTCTATGCTCTGCAGGGTAATTGTTTCTCTTGAAGCAGGAGAAACGGGTAATTGTTTCTCTTGAAGCAATTGACCCTTATTTTAAACAACCTTTACATTCTTAATTTCCTTGGACAGATTATATCATACCTTCTACTTTCGGGTTCAGCTGCTGGATTTGGTGCATCCGAAGATCTGCGCAAAATATTCCATTCAATAGAACTTTTCAAATCCTTTTTTGAAAAGGCAAACGCCTCAGCTAGCCTTCTTCTTATTGGATTTCTGTTCACTGCAATAGCATCAACTTTCACTTCCTTTGCTTTGCCAAAGAAAGCTTAGCTTAATTCTGTAAATGATGTTCATGGATTATGATTCTTTCTTCCTTCACTAGTTTGCTTCAGTTCGATTCCTTTGGCAATCAATCAATTGTGACTTGTGGATTTGTATTTTCCTTATTTGTCTCTATTTTTTCACTCCTAAGATCTTCCCCAATTGTACTTGTTTTGATTTATTATAAATAGAATGAATTTAAAAGAAAAAATGTGTATCATTTTAAAGAATATAAAATTGTGTCATTTTAAGGTGAGAGAAAAAAAATAGATCATGGGAGAAAGAGAGTGCAATAAAACAATAAAGATGTGGATCCTACTTTTAATTAGAGTTAAATGACACAAGTTGTATTATTTAAAAGGACAAATAATTTTCTCTTAAATTTAAAATATTGAATATTATTATTTAATTATTTATGTACAAAATATTATACATGTGACTATGTGAGTGATTGCTTTCATAATAAAAAGCTAATTCTTCTTAAAAAAAATAAGATACAAATGTATCCTTTAATATCTCAAACAGAGCAACACACAATCGACCATTTATTTGAGCTTGCAAGCATGTGTTCCTAGCAATGACTTATAAATGATTCAAGCATGCTGGCATGGGTTTTATAAATGATTCATCCTTAATGGCCAAAATAATAATGATAACAACAACATCAAAAACAACAATGCACACTACTGTTGCTATTCGAGTGCAGACTGCGATTATTTTGAAGAGGCTGCTTAAAAAATGAATGATGAAACTGTCCATTTTGCACAATAACATGAACCAAAGAAAAACAAATTGCTCTTCTCAGTTCTCATTATTGCTTCTTATTCTTTTCCCTTCACACTGTAATGCATTTATTAAATAAGTCAAAACGAAATGACTTTAGCTGCCAATTGTACAATGTGACCATCACACGTATATAGGATTTGCATTGTTTGCACCAAACCAACACCAAAAACAACAAACCATGGGCAATTATTTCCATTAGTAACTACACTGAATAAGGAATTCCATCAGTTGACAAAAAACTAAAAACAAATAAATCGTCTAATTTCCCTTTGAAATTAAAGAACATTCTGAGCAGTCCTTCCCTATGGAACCCTACCTTTTCCAATACCCTCTGGGAAGCCTTGTTCTCTACAAGAGTGAAAGCCTGCAACCTTCTCAGATGAGGGAACTCTTGGAAGACTTGGGACAAAACAATCTTCAGTGCTGTGGTGGCTATCCCATGGCCCCAATAGTTGAACCCTAAAGCATACCCCAAATCTGCTTTATACCTATCATCACCACGCCAAGGAAGCACCCAAACAATCCCAATGGACATGTCATCAAGGCATATTGACCTTCCCAATGGGTGAATGTATTCATCTCTAATGAAAGCCAAAGCCTCTACCCTTGAACCACAAGTCTCCATTCTAGCATTCTTAGTTACTCTATCATCTCCTGCCCATAATAATACATCATCAACATCGCTTAGCTTGAATGGCCGTATAGAGATCCTTGACAAATCTATTGCCATAACCAACTAACTATAGATAAATGCTGTGTCTCTATATTAATATAGAAAATGATAATCTATAGCAGAACCAGACATTAATCAAGATAATTGTTGGATTATTTCTCTTTAATTAGATACAAATTCCAATGCGTGGAAGAATGAAAAGGCTTCATGGAAAAATGAAAGGACTTCGTGAGAGAACGAAAAGTCATATTGAACGTGGTAATGAAAGGAAATTTTTTTCGTGTCCTTCATGTAGATATATTTCTCCAATCTCAATTTCAGGGGGTTGTATTTATGTTAAGCCTCAAAAGATATGTTGCATCAACTATCTCAAGCCCTTCATCAAATATGCCCTTTCTATTTATTGACAGGTCTTTCAAGCTTTGCTTTATACATTCTACACCAATTGTTACTGCTTTATAGGTTTCCACCACTGGTTTTACTTTTAAGAATTTTCAAACCCCCCCTACCCCCAAAAAAAGAATTATTTTCACCCTCACACTGAACAATCATGGCTCTGCCACTGCCTACCAGTACCACATACTTAATGATATCTTCACTATCTTTCTCTCTCCCACCATATCAGGCAAAAGAAGAGACCTAGTTTAGGTTGATAAATGTTTTATTGAATTTGTTTCAATATCTTATATTTATATTTCAACATCAATATACTAAACTATTGCAAATTAATCAAAAAGGAAAATTCCAAACGCAAGTTAATAGGTTTAGGGTAACAGAACCCTAATCCCTGAATCAAAACCCTAATTTCCTATTAAAATCCTAATTTCAATTCTCAAATTTGTTATCAAGTGGATCATCATGGACCATAATCACATTAATAATAAAATAAACTTAATTGGTTCGTGGGGAGGATCACCACAAGAGAACCCATTATTTTTCTTTTGGATATTATTTATCAATTGATCGATTATTCAACTAGTTCAATCATTTGAGTCGGATGAGAGGGGCGGCAAAGCTTTTTCTATTAAATTTTAATATAACATATGCACTAACAACTCATCATTATGTGAAAGAATCACTAGAAATTTCAAATAACAAGGCAAAAGCTATTTAAATTTTAAAGCTGTTATTTTTTTAAAAAAATTACTTAATTACCGTCCCTGATTTATATTACATCTGCAATTAGGGTGTGTACGAACACCATTTTCTTCCCTCACACTGTTTTTGAAAAAAAAATTCTTTTCTATTTATGTTCTTTGGAATAGTGTCTGAGAAAAAAAAAGTGTTTGATAATATATTTTATTTTTATTCCGAGAATGAGAATTTTGTTTGATAACGCAACAAATAATATAATAAAAATACTTTTTATTAAGTATAAATTTTTTTCAAATCATCACTTTCCTTTCCATGGTGGTGGCGTGATGGTAGTGATTGTCAGGCGGATCCAGAGGGAAGTCCGTGGCAGGAGACCACCACCAATGGGCTCCAAATATACCAAGTGAGTCCGACACCACATCTTAACCCAAAATCTTAAGGCATTGGGTTCATGGGTCCACTCACTTATATATTCTTCACTTAGACCATTACCAACCAATGTGAGACTCATTACATTTGAATATCTCAATATTCTCCCCCTCAGGTGTGAAAGCCAACATTGATATATTTCCCCTCAACCGAGTACCCCAGGGCCCAAATACTCAACCCGCTTCCTAGTCAATTACCAGGCTAGCTCGAGCACAACCCGGCTCTGATACCATTGTCAGGCGGGTCTAGGGAGAAGCCCGTGGCGGTGGGCGGCCACCACCAATGGGCTAAGTTAGCCCAAGTATACCAAGTGAGTTCGACACCACATTTCAACCCAAAACCTTAAGGCATTGGATTCATGGGTCCACTCACTTATATACACTTCACTTAGTCCATTACCAACCAATGTGAGACTCATCACACTTGAATACTCCAACAATCTACCCCTCAAGTGTGAAACCTACCATTGATTTGCTTCCCCTGAACCGAGTACCCCAGGGCCCAAGTACTCAACCCGCCTCCTAGCCAATCACCAGGCTAGCTCGAGCACAACCTGACTTTGATACCACTGTCAGGCGGGTCCAGATGGAAGCCAGTGGTGGGGGACCACCACCAATAGGCTAAGCTAGCCCAAATATACCAAGTGGATCCGACACCACATCTTAACCCAAAACCTTAAAGCATTGAGTTCATGGGTCCTTCCACTTATATACTCTTCATTTAGCCCATTACCAACCAATGTGTGACTCATCACACTTGAATATCTCAACAGTGATGACATAGTGGTGGTAGTGACGACAGTGGCTGCGGCAATGATGGTGATAATGGTAGCGATGGTGGTGGTGGTAATGACAAGGTGGTGGTGGTGATGGCAGTTGCTGCGACAATTGTGTTGGCGGTGGTGGCGTGCTAGTGGTGGAGGCATGATGGTGATAGTAGTGGCAATGGTGGTGGCGATAACGATGACTTGGTGATGGTGGTGGTGACAGGAGTGGCGCGGCGATGGTAATGGACTAGTGGTGGTGGTAATGGTGGTGGCAGTGGTGGCGTGGTAGTGGTGGAGGCATGGTGGTGGTAGTAGTGGTGGCGATGGCGATGGCGATGACGTGGTGATGGTGGTGGTGACAACAGTGGTTGCGACAATGGTAGTGGACTATTGGTGATGGTGATGGTAGTAATGGTGGCGACATGATAGTGGTAGTGGTGACGATGATAATGGTGGTGATGGCAATAGTTACAATGATGATGATGGTAGTGATAATGGTAGTGGTTGATAGTGGTTGAAAGGCATGGGTTTCTCTTTTTATGCCTGGAAAAAGAATAGAAATTTTTTTTTTCTGTTCCACATAATAAAAATTAAACTGATTAAAACAAAAAAGATAAATTGACTTCACCAAACGAATTTTCTATTTATTTTTATTTCTGGAAATAAAAAAATTTCGAAATTGATTTCGAAAAGATTATTGTACAAACCCTTGGTGTTAACAAAACAGAAAGATCGGAGTTATAGGACCCAATTTTTTATTCTACGCAAAAACTCTGATTGCGTGGTACTCCAAGTTGACGGTGGCTATATTTGTATTTTCACGAGCTTTCTAGATGGCTGAACAGTTTTTGCGGTGAGATTATTCGGTGTAGATTTATAGCACTCGATGGGGTGTAATACTTTGAGGCATGTAGTATTTCAATATAATAGTATCAAAGCTCAGAAGTGTGTAAGGGGAGGTGCCTCACGGTTCGGTGTAGAGTTACAAATGATCGATGTGTAAAAGGTAGCTCGAGCTAAAGAGAGATATTTATTGGTTAAAAAAAATCTCCAATAGTCGTAATAACCATAATATTTTGTGAGGAATTTAAATGTGAATGATTGAATGAAAAAGTCTCACATTAATTAAGAATAAATTAGGTAGGCACTCTATAAATGAAAGGATCCGTGTATCTAATGTCTTAAGAAGGTTTAGTATAAGTTTTTGGGGAAAATGTTTATGCAGTTAATGCAGATAAGTTATCTGCATTTATTTCAAAACGACGTCGTTTTGGTATTGAAATCTTAAAAAATTATAAATATAAAGACTATTATAACCCTGAAATAAATTAAAATTATAAAAATATTATGATTTCTGCCCAAAACGACGTCGTATTGGGCTTATTGTAGATAACTTATCTACAATAACTGCAGAAAAAGCGAACCCATTTGATTAAAATGCTGGGAAAGTGGGGATGAGAATTTTTTTGTCCCACGTTTGGTATAAGTAGAAGTGAAAATTATCTTAGAATACTATTTTTCTCGTCATTTTATTTTTAACTACACATTTCCAAAAAATAATATCATCCACCCATGGTATTATTTTTTTCCCTGAGAAATGCGTAACAATATTTTGAGACTAAAATGCTCGGATAAAATGAATGTTTGATGACTGACAAGATATTCAATATTCAAAATGATAGATCATTTTGTCCTTCCGGTTTAGATTTCCATCAATATTTTATAATCAATCAAATATAATATCATGGTCTACCAAACACCTTTTCGTAACTTACCCCAGAAAAAAAAATTCTTACTATATTCCTAAAAATCTTTTTTTTCGATAAAAAAAATATCTCCTCTACCAAATATATCCTTAACATCTTAAATTTGATTATCACGTTTCAAACACACTTAATCATGAGCTCCTCCACAACCCAACAAATACATATGAGAAAAGTATACTCACCTCAACAGAAAGTGAGATACTTCACAATAAAGATTAAAATTCTTATTTATAACTTAAAAGTCTCATTTTAGCCATACATGACACTGACGTTCAATATAAGCCTTAGCTGCCGATCCATTGGACCGGCTAGTGTTACCAATCCAAAATAGAAACCGTTCTCTAGGCTGCCACGACAAATAAATTATTCACAGTTAATTTCACTCGCATGCTCTACGCTCACACACGACAAATAAATTAAACCTCATCAATGAAATAACGATTAAGATTGAAGTAAATTGATCCTTTCTTGTAGACAGACAGCCCAAAGATTTGGAAATTGACGTGACTAGCAGCCATCAACAACAACAACGCACAGTTGCAGACTACTATTGCTATTGGAGTGCAAAGTGGAGTTATTTTCAAGAGTCAGGCTTGAGGTTGCTTAAAAAATGAATGATAAAACTGTGCATTTTGCACAATAACCTTAACCAAATTGACCAAACTACTTTGACACAAATAGTAAGAAATTTGGGTTCCTTAACCAAAGGTTTCGAATTCGAGTCATGTAAATTAAAAGAAAGATTTGGGAGAGCCGCCTTCGAAAAGGTCCGACAATGCTCGAGTGGAAATTAATCTTCCGCTACGGTCAGAGGATACCCATGAAATTACTCAAAAAAATAAAAAAAATAAAAAAATTGCTCTTCTCAGTACTCATCGTTCCTTTTTTTTTCGCCTCGCGCTGTAATTCATTTATTAAATTAGTCAAAGCGAAATGACTTTAGCTGCCAATTGTACAACGTGACCATCACACGTATATAGGATTTGCCTTGTTTCCACCAAACCATCCCCAAAAACAACAAACCATGGGCAATTATTTCCATTAGTAACTACACTGAATGAGGAATTTCATCAGTTGACAAAAAACTAAAAACAAAGAAATCCTCTAAGTTCCCTTTGGAATAAAAGAACATTCTGAGCAGTCCTTCCCTATGGAACCCTACCTTTTCCAATACCCTCTGGGAAGCCTTGTTCTCTACAAGAGTGAAAGCCTGCAACCTTCGCAGATGAGGGAAGTCTTGGAAGACTTGGGGCAGAACAATCTTCAGTGCTGTGGTGGCTATCCCATGGCCCCAATAGTTGACTCCTAAAGCATACCCCAAATCTGCTTTATACCTATCACTATTATCACCACGCCAAGGAAGCACCCAAATAATCCCAATGGACCTGTCATCAAGGCATATTGACCTTCTCAATGGGTGAATGCATTCATCTCTAATGAAAGCCAAAGCCTCTACCCTTGAACCACAAGTCTCCATTCTAGTATTCTGAGTTACTCTATCATCTCCTGCCCATAAAAATACATCATCAACATCGCTTAGCTTGAATGGCCGTATAGAGATCCTTGACAAATCTATTGCCATAACCATCTAACTATAGATAAATGCTGTGTCTCTATATTAATATAGAAAATGATAATCTATAGCAGAGCCTGGCATACCAGTACCACATATTACATGATATCTTCACTCTCTCTCTCTCTCACACTCACCATATAATATAAGGCTGAAGAAGAGGGCAAAAAAAATTAATTTAATGTAATTTAAATAAATAATAACTAAAAATAAACCAATTTTAGTGTACCTCGTACATTGACTTTCCCACGACACAACCCTGGGAAGATTAGTGCATGTATAAATTTAAATTAAATTGTATGGAGATTTTATAAGTTCCAGGCGTGAACCACCGTGACTATTTATTCAATTAAATATAGTTTAGGTTGCTACATGTTTTATTCAATTTATTTCAATTTCTTATTATTTTATTATACTATATTTCAACATCAATACACTAAAATATGCAAATTAATCAACATGAAAAATTTAAGACGCAAATTAATCAATATTTTTTTTTCGTACAAGGCAAGGGCTAAGCCCCAAAAGAAAAAGAAACAGCTAATCCCTGAATTAACACCCTAATTTCCTAATAAAATCCTAATTCCAAAAATTGAATTCCAATTCTCAAATTTTTAACATCAAGTGGATCATCATGGACCATAATCACATTAATAATAAAATAAACTTAAACGGTTCAATGCCAGGACCATAATCACATTTTGTGAATGAATCACTTTAAATGTCAAATAACAACGCAAAAGCGATTTAAATTTTAAAGCTGTTATTTTTAAAAATATTACTTGATTGCCGTCCGTGATTTATATTACATGTGCAATTAGTATTAAATAAAAAATCTTGTCGCTTAGTGAAAAAATAGTTTATTTAATAAGAGAGGAGAATAACAAATCTTCTACTGCACTTTTAAATAAAAAAATATTTCTCCTTAGTAGCCTGCCCATTAAACTTGGTTAAAATTATTATTTATTTATTTAATATTTAAATTAAAAAAAGATATCTCATTTTTCTCATCATAATTTCTATTATATAATTGCTTCTCTCATGAAACATATAAACATAATAATTTAACTAAAATAATTGGGATACCACCAATAAACTCAAAAAAAAGTAACAGTTGAAAAGAGGAAAATTAATTTCTGGTTTTAATAGTTAATTTCATTCCCATCACAAATCTTGGGGTAAATTGATCCTTTCGGGTAGACAGTAAATATCAACTCTGGCATACTTGTGTAGCAAATTCGCGTCCCTCTATTGCTGAAGGACAGCGAATCACAGCCCAAAGGTTCTAGGATTTGCATTTTGATTCAAATCAATTAAGCTTTTAAACATTATAATTGTTTTCTTCCAGACAAGAGGTGTAATTGAACATGAGTGTTGTTCCTAAAGAGACCATTGAGGTGATTGCACAAAGTATTGAGATTAACAACGTGTGTCGTCGCTCTGTGTTGCTCCTGATATTGAATGCTGCTCCACATTATGCAGGTTTTGGCATCATTTAATTATGAACTATTTTTTGGCTTAAATAATAGAGTTTTCTTAGAAATAAATTTGAACAAAACAAGTGTTGAAGTTGAACTATGGAACATGCTCCTATCTTCTGTCTCTTACACAGCATGAGCCATTCTAGGAGAACCACTGTTGATGCTGCACTGAACTTGAACCTCCTTGTACTCACAACCAAGGGCATCTTCTCCTGAATCTCCAACTTCGCAGAGGTAGCTGAATTGCTTTGACCAGCCTCTTGTTCCTTGTTCAAATGCTTTGTGACAATCTCACCATTAGTACTATTTCTTAGTACATACCTATTTTAGAACTTTCAACGTATCATCGACCCCAAAGACATATTTCCTAGCATCTTGGCTGATCTCTAAAACCACCGAGTCCCATGCAATCGAAATATCTCATGAATAATTATTTCTGCTATTATTTTCACAATTTTCTTCACGATCATCACATGTATGTTTGACACTGCTAAAACTCTAAAAAAAATTATATGCTCTTTGATGATTATATAAAATTATTAGCTTAAAAATTACTTAAAACTATTCATTTCAAAAAAAAAAAACACATTTCAAAAAAAAAAATTCATACAACTTAAAAAAACTCCTCTCGTTAGCTTCTGACTTTTGTTTTTTTTATTATAATTTACTTTTATTATAAGAGTTTTTGTAAAAACCTATTTGACATAGCGTCTAATTATAAGAAAAAAGAGAAGCTAAAAAAACTCTCAAACAGGAACTAAGTAATTGACATAATTATAAATAAGTATGTGTCTCTCACGATGTGGTCTCTCTTATATAACGAACAATCATTCCAAATGAACTAGAAATAAGGTCATGATATTTCCATGAAGATTAATAAACTAATAAATGTTATAATAAATAAAAAATAAAAAATATTTATTTATTCAAAACCGATGATAGCAAGATTTTCATATGCATTAAAATCTTAAAATACAAATAAACTCTCTTCCTCTATAATCACCAAATTCCCGATAGTTGTTACGAATAGAACCATTCAATAAGGGCTTATTGTTTTTTGTTTTACTTTTATTACAGAAAAAGTGAATGAGTCTTATTGTAATAAGAAGAGAGAGAAAATGTTAATATAATTCACTTATTCATAGAAACGTTAAACCCATTAAATAATAAAGATTGCATAAACGGAGTATGAGTAGGTTGAACGTATAAACTGTGTTGCTTATCTTGATTCATAAGAAAAATTAATATAAACACAGCCTATTGTATAATTTTCATAGGAAAGCAATGGCCAGAACCGTGAACAGTGGTTGCTCAATGATGAATAGGTGCAGTGTTCAAAGAGCGTAAATAAAACAATATAGTTAGGCAAATTATCAGTGACGAAAATACGACCATGGTTCTCTCTTTTGATGAACCTTTAGTTTTCTTGTCTATTTCCCCTCTCACTCAGAGATCATAAACTCCGCAATCAACCCTTTCTTTGAAAACTTTAGGTCATTTCTAATATATTTTTGGTCCCTCCCTTTTTGGAATCATAATCTCGGATTCCTGAAGCATTTTCTCAATTTCTTTAGTTGACCGTATTCCATTTGCATTCGTTATTGTAACCTCCATTTTGTTCCCTGCAGATACCTCTAATATATATACCAGCCCAGCAATGACCTTGGATGGCCACAGCTTTACATCATGATGAATAATGAAATTGATATATTTGCTTCCATTTAACCTCCTCCTTTTATTAAAATTTTGTTCCTTGTTAATTGATACCTCGTCAGCTCTAACAAGCCCGTTTATTATTGTCTTATAAAAGTATTTTTTTAATCAAAATTTAATTAAAAACTTTATATTATTTCAATAATTTTTTAAAAAATAAAAAATAATTTTAGTGCTTTTAGCGTCTATATCTATATCTATATATAACTAGAAGAGAAAAATTACCGGAGGACAAAAATATCACGTGTTTACTTTAAATTCAATGAACCAGATTTATTTTTACACTTAACCGGTTAATAACAATAATAATAAATAAATAAAACAATAATAATATATACCCTTAATGGAAATTAAATGAAAAATATAAACTAAATGAAAACGAAAAATACTTTAAAAACAAAAAATAAATTAGCAACGGAAATTAAATGAAAAACATAAATTAAATGAAAATGGAAAGCACATGAAAAATAAAAAAGATAGACACAAAAATCGATGAATTTATAAAAATTTATATTACTCTCATGCAATATGAGCAATGTTGTTAAGATCGAGATCTTACTGAAGAATTAAGATCAAGAGGGGATAAAAAAATTGTAAATCATACAAACGACACGATCGTAAAATCATACCTGTTCATATAAATGGTTCGTTTTTGTGTGCAGTAAGTCTAATACGACGTCGTTTTGGACAGAAATCATTGTGTTTTTGTAATTTTAATTTATTTCAAGAATATTATAATCTTTATAATTATAATTTTCTAATCTTTTAATCTCAAAACGACATTATTTTGGAAGTAAATGTAGATAATTTAACTGCATTAACTGCAAAAATATTTTTCTGTCATATAAAATTTAAAATTACATAAATAATTAAATAATTTCTCACATAATCATATTATCTTAAGTTTTTTATTTAAAATAAAAAATAATTTATTACATGATCCTTAATTGATACAGCTGTAACGTAAGGTTGGTGGTCGCATAAGCTTTTTTATTTACCTCGAGGAATAGACTTGTCACGTGACAAAACTCTAGAAGGTTTGAGCAACAACATGGCAATGATGTGGCAAGCATTCACATTTATACTAACAACTGTTATCTAGTAGCGAATAAGCGACAAAGTGGAAAATGTGCAAAAACACTGTGCTCTTTTGAATCCGAGAAGCACAAACAGAGGCAAAGAGAAACCACAATAAAGGTGAGTGTTTGAGAGAAGATGGTGATGAGAATGGACCATATTAGTCTGGTTGTCGATTCCAACGGCGTGCACGACAAAGGTGAGTGTTGGTGAGAAGAAGTGTGATGAAACTGGTGTAAGGCTGTGAGCTATGAAGCTCTCCTCTCCATCTCCATCTTACAAAGTTTTCTTTCTTGTGATAGTTGTTCTTCTCTTTTTAAGGTTCTTTTATGTGGTTTTTCTCTCTCTGATCTCCGGTATTTAATTCCAATCGGTGAGGCTTTTTTCACATTCGTTAAAATGGTGAGATCGGACGATTCATTGAACGATTTTACTTGTCGATCTCACATGATCTCGATGGAGAATGATCTCACTTGCGATTTGGATCGCTGGGTTGAAAAAAATCGCAGGATCGTACGATCCCACGATGTTAATCGCGATATTGACAACGTTGATGGTGGCTATATTTGTTTTTTCAAGAGAGGGGATGTTATGTAGTATTTCAGTATAATTGTGATAAAATAAGTAACGGTATAGACCAAAATTTAGTGGAGAGTCACGGTGAATTTGTCTCCAATGACGTGTAAAAAAATGTTTTTTCAATGACAAGAAATGTATTTATAGGTGAAAAAATTCTCCAATGAGAGAATAAGTTATTTTGCTGTACGTGAAGCAAATACACTCATATGAAGCTGAGATATGAAATATAGATAGAGACATAGAGTCATCCTCCGCGACAAGGGTCTAAAAATTTAGAAAAGTGACTCCTTGATATCAACCTTAGTAGCCTGCCCATTAAACTATGTTTGTGTGGCCGATACATACAGGAATTATTTATAACTTAGTGAATAAATAGTTTATTTATTTATTTTTATTTTTATTGGGGTAAGCTGATGGGAATACCCACAGCAAAAAAAAAAAAAAATAGTTTATTTAATAAGAGAGGAGAATAACAAATCTTGTACTGTACTTTTAAATAAAAAATATTTCTCCTTAGTAGCCTGCCCATTAAACTTGGTTAAAATTATTATTTGTTTATTTAATATTTAAATTAAAAAAAAAAAGTCTCTCATTTTTTCATCATAATACGAGGGAACTAATGGCTGTTTCTATCCTTTTTTATTTATTTTTATTTAGAAGTTACTTATAAGTAGGGGTGTAAATGGGTTAGGCCAGCCTATAGGGACCTATGGCCTAGCCTATATTAGGTTAGACTTGACCTATTAAATATAGTAAAATAGAACAGACCAAGACTTTTAAAAAAAATTATTTAGAAAACAGGTCATACGCTATTTTGTACATATCAGGCTTATAAGCTTAGAGACAGGCCTATATCGTATTATTTATTTAAAATATAATAAATAAAATTATTATTTTAATAATTTTGAATAATAAAATAATATTATTTTAATTATTCTTTTAATTGTTGAACATTTAATAGGTTTAAACAGGCTAATAAGTCTAGGGTAAGGTTTTTATTTTTTAAATATAGGTCAGACTAGACTAGTAATTCGGGGCCTATACAGGTTAATAGGTCAGGCCATTTCCAATAATTTTCACACAGACCTGGCCTATTTAAGTCAAAGCCTAACATATTTACACCCCTAGTTATAAGCGCATAAGATAGGCCAAACAGGTTTTGACAAAAACTCTTATAATAAAAAACTCTTTTTTTTTTATAATGAAGAAACTAAAAGCTTTTTTTTAAGCTTTTATCTGTTTTTCTTGAATTGTGTGTTTTTTTTAAATGAAGAGCTATAGAAATAGAGAGAGATAATTTTTTTGAAATATGTGCTTTTAAGTAATTTTTAAGCTAAAAATTAAATGTAACTATCAAATAGCTTTTACCTTTTTTGTTAGTTCTTTTTGTTAGTTTTAGCTTATAAGTAGTTTTTGGCTTAAATTTTGGATTTTTTTTTTTTTTAAATTAGAAGCTACTTATAAATAAAAGTTAGGTTAAATAGGTTACCAGAAAAACTCTTTTAATGAATTTTTTTTTATAACAAAGAAGAAAATTAAAAGTCAAAATTTTTAGGAGGAGCTTTTATAAAAGCTTTTCCTTTATCAAATTGTGTTTTTTTTTTTTTTTTTTTGTGAAATGAAAATTTCTTAAAATATATATTTTAAAGTAATTTTTAAGTTAAACTTTTTACGTACTTACTAAATAATTTTTAATTTTTTTTTTGAAGTTGTTTTTTTAAATTTTAATATTTTTTAATTTAAAAGAGAGGATACAGAAAAACTAACACTGAAAAGAGAAACACTAATTCCTAGGTTTAAATTTTAATAGTTAATTTCATTCGCATTCTCTACTCTCACACACAAATTTTGGGTAAATTGATCCCTTCCCCAGTAGAAATCAACCCTGGCACACTTGTGTAGCGAATTCGCGTCCCTCTGGCTGAAGGTCAGTGAATCACAGCCCAAAGGTTCAGACAAGAGGTGTATTTGAATATGAGCATTGTTCCTAAAGAGACCATTGAGGTGATTGCGCAAAGTATTGGGATTAACAACTTGTCTCCTGATGTCGCTCTTTGTGTTGCTCCTGACGTTGAATACCGCGTGCGCCAGATTATGCAGGTTCGTTTAATTATGAACTGTTTTTCTTTTTTTTAAATAATGGAGTTTTTTTAGAAATAAATTTGAACAAAAAGTGTTGAAGTTGAACTATGGAATATGCTCCTATCTTCTGTCTCTCTTAACCCAGTTTTGTTCAAATCTCAGGAGGCAATCAAATGCATGCGCCATTCTAGGAGAATCACTTTGACTGCAGATGATGTTGATGCTGCACTAAACTTGAAGAATGTTGAAGTAAGTAAAAAAAAAAAAAAAGTTTTGAAGTGGTTGGTTTGCTTTTCAGAATATTTTCATTTTTCACTTGTGGTGTTCTGGAGAAATCTTTGTTATCTTTTTACACATTTAATAGGGTTTGTTTGTTGGCTGTATGTAGTGTTCACTGTTTTGGGCTAAATTTCATAATCAGATCTGAATGTGTTTGGATGTGAGCTTTCTTCATGTTGTTTTAGTAAGGAAGTGAATCTTTCTCGATTGTGTTAATTGTGTATTTACTTTTTTCCGAAGCATGGATAATTTTCAATTAAGCAGGAATGATAGTTTTCAATTCTATTTACATCCTTTAGGATGAATCATCCCATCCTGTGATTTTTTATTTTTATTTTTTATTGTAGTTTTTGCTTACATAATGCAATGATTGGAATCATTTATCAAATCAAGTTATAATTTTCATAGCCATAAAGCAGCACGAGCTTCTAAAGATAAATGATAAGATACTCTTTTCACTTTTCAGTAATAATTGATGTGGTACTCACCGGTCAACCTTTTCAGTAATAAGTGATGCGGTACTCACCGGTCAACCGCAAGTGATTGGGTAGCACTAGCAGATAATAATCAATTTGTTTTGAGCCCTTATGTTTGGCCAAAAGAAATACTCAATGCTTTTGCCTAACAGTAATCTGAACCCTGTTTAAAAACATGCATAGATAGAAAAGGGTTACGGCCTATATGACTCTTGTGGATTTTGAATATTGTGAATTTTGTGCAAACTTATTATATCCATCGGTGATTGAAAGAAAACAAGTTTTCTTTAATGAACTGTGTGTCTTCATTATATTCTTGTAGAAGCAAAGCATTATTTTTACATGTAAAGCCTTTAATGTAAAAATAGTTTATTGGTTTTCTACTGTTATCTTCTGTGGTTCTTCATATATCTTTGTTAGATTAGGTAGTTATTGATTTATTCTTCCAAACTAATTGGCACCCCCAAAAACTGTTAAAGGACGTATGTTTATAGGTTTCTTTGTTTTGCATAAAAGTTGTATGCTTATTTGGTTTTCATGTGTCTCTGGCTTAGAAATGCTGTAGTGTAGGTATTTTGATCTTTGGAAAGATAAGTTTAAGCTTAGAAAGCAGAAACATCCTTTGTTTTTTGCAAGTTAAAAGACACATCTGAGAGCTATGTATGTGGAAACTTTTGAAGTGTATCGTAATAGTTCAAACTGGTCAGCTTACTCAAAGTTGTGGGAAGATGTATGTTTATTTATATACTGACTGAGAACTTGACTGTGAGTATAAGGATCTGTGTATAGCTTGGACTAAAGTTCTATTGTTTTCTGCTATTTCCAGCTAGAATGATATATAGTAGAAGTTTAGAACTGCCATGTGGACAGTTATGAGGATGTCTCATTGTGAAAAATGCATGATTATTTATTTCTAATCTCATTTTCAATATTTTTCTTTTAATGTCAGCCAATATATGGATTTGCATCTGGTGGTCCTGTACGGTTCAAAAGAGCTGTTGGACACAGAGATTTGTTTTATCTTGATGACAAGGATGTAGACTTAAAAGATGTAAGGGAGAACTCAATCATTGTCCCTTGAATTGGATTTAAACTTGGAGTGCCGTCACCTCCTTAAAATTATAGTTTGTGTTAATCATAGGTTATCGAAGCTTCTTTACCAAAAGCACCCCTTGATAGTGCAGTTACTTGCCACTGGCTTGCCATCGAAGGCGTGCAACCTGCTATTCCAGAAAATGCTCCTGTAGAAGGTAGGTCTCTAACCAGAAAATGCTCCTGGTCCTTTTATGAATATTTTTTTTTCCCTTATAACATTTTATTTGCAGTAATTTTGGCTCCTTCCGATGTCAAGAAGCATGAACAGAAGGATGTTAACCTTCCAGTTGACATCAAATTACCTGTAAAGCATGTACTATCTAGAGAGCTTCAGGTATCTAAATTATTATGCCACTGCGAGTATCTTGTTTCTCATCCTGTAGTTTATTTAGGTTAGTTTTATTGTTTCTTGCAGCTGTATTTTGATAAAGTGGCTGAGCTAACTTTAAGCGAGTCTGATTCAGTTCTCTTTAAAGAATCATTAGTAAGTTTGGCCACTGATTCAGGACTTCATCCATTAGTTCCTTATTTCACATGCTTTATAGCTGATGAGGTAATAATATTTGTCTTTTTATCATGTTGGTGGATAAGAAAGAAAATGTTGCCTTATTCTTGCTCATTACAACTGTGTGCTTCTCCATTCTTTTCAGGTTTCTCGTGGTTTGAATAATTTTCCTCTTCTATTTGCCTTGATGCGAGTTGTTCGTAGCCTTTTGCAAAACCCTCATATCCATATTGAACCTTATGTAAGTTCACCTCTTGTTGATTTAGTATATTTTTTTATATTCTTGCTGACATAAACATGATCTTTGCATAAGCAAAGTAGCATTATTAATATTCAAAGTTGGTGCACCGTTTTTTAATTGGAATTATGTTGTCTTCATGGAATCTTGAAAACATTGATTTGTCATTCATTGCTCCTCCATAAAGATGGCCCTAACAACATTTGGCCCGTGAAAATTTAAAAGCAAATAAAAAAGAAATAAAAATTATTCTTATTGTACTTCCTAATAGCCTGGCCTATAGGCTGGACCATGAGCCTGCAAATGCCAGGCTGGTGTCCTGTTTTCTGGCCCCATAAAAAAATGGGCTCGCATGTTTTCAGCCAGGCTGCAAACAGGCCAGGTTGGGAAGTTCCAGCCTGTTTGTCAGTGCTTGATGGCTTTTATTATCTAATAAAGTGATTTCCACGTTTATTTTTTATAATTTTAAATATAGAGATGCTGTTTGCTATCTTGGTTGAATATGTACGTAGAGTAGTAAAATGCAGTAGAATGAATAATTACAACAAAAGCAACAAAAGCCTTTCCAATAGGTTGGGTTGGCTGCATGGATCAAATGATGCCATTGTGTTTTTGTCATAAACCATGTCTTCAAAAATGCCTTTTAGATCAAAGTCCATTTTAATTGTTTCTCTTAGGGTTTCCTTTGGTCTTCCTCTACTATTTATTGGGTCGTTCTCGAGCTAATCAACACCTTGCTACTCTCTTTTGGACAAAAATAATAAATATTACGAGACAGAAGAAAAAATGAGTAAAAGGAATGAACAAAATAAGGCGTTATCCTTAGCAAAAGACATGACGAAGAAAAATAGAAAGAATAAACAAATGCATAAAAAAACTAAAGCTCTGCAGCCCCTTTGTACATCTGTGAGGGAGATTCCTTCTAAGAATCAATAAAAGAAACACCAAAGACAAGCCATAAAAATGGTCTAGTCTCAAATGATATCTAAGGCTTAGAAGAGTTCTTGAAGAAGCCAGCATTTCACTCCAGTTATATACACCAGAGAAAAACATATAGCCTGCAGGCATAAATCCGTTTTCTCCTTAGTCTGATGAAAACCCTGGATAGTGTTATAAAGAAGCTGTTCCAAGTTGAGAGGGCATAGCGGCATTCCTAAAGTTTTCCAAAAACACCAAATAAATTGATCCATAACGATCTGGTTGTAGAGCCTTGTAAAAATTAATGAGAAACCAATTCAGAACTGGACTAACAGATGTCACATAATGAGAGAGAGCTTTGTGGGCTATCCGAATTTGGAAATATCATTAGTGGTATTCTTCTTGACATATAGTATTGAATATTAAATTGTTTGGCTTATTAACTTGTTGCACCTGATACTTGACTACCAATTTTTTTATTTTTATTTTTCATGTGGTTCCTACTTCATTGTAAATCATGTAAGTGCTGTCTTTATGTTTTGATCATACATGGCTGAATAGTAAAGTATTTATACTCTTCAATGTTCTTATTGTTGCCACATATTTAAAAAGATTTTTGTCTTCTCTGGACAATATTTTTCCATGTTTGCAAATTGCAACTTTTATATTAAGCAATAAGAGTTCTAACGAATAGCATTTAGGCATGACATGACTAGGGTTGGGATAAAAACTCGGTTCAAATGAATGAGTTAATGTGAAACGAAACCTCTTATCTCTTTCTCTTTCCATTTTTTCTTGCTTCAGCTACACCAGTTGATGCCATCTGTTGTGACCTGCCTTGTTGCCAAAAGGTTGGGAAGTAGGTTGGCTGACAACCATTGGGAACTTAGAGACTTTACAGCTAACCTGGTTGCTTCAATATGCAAAAGGTGAGATATACTCAGTCTGTCCTGTTATATGTTGTGCATAAAGGGAAACGGAAACAATTTTTACCTGATATTTTATATTCGTTGTACGTTTGCTTCTTTGATTTTATTGTAGCAAAGCCAAATAATAATATATTTCTTGTGTATTTCCTATGAAATGCACCCTTGATTTTGGAGGTCCAGTCCAAAGGCCCACCACAATGTTTTCAATTTTCATTCACTGAATCAGTATGACTAAAGCTTATCCTTTTTGTTAAGTTCTCAAGCAACTTCCTAGCATTGCCCGTGGCCTTTGAAGATGTTGAACTTGTTACAGACTGTTGAATCATTAAATTGTAAACCGGAAATCTAGTCTTCGTTAATGACTTTAGGTATCTTGCCTACTTTGAAATTTTGTGTGGCTTATTTGTTGGGCACTTATTGATTACATTGCAAATTTGTCTTTCTTTAAATGTTTGTGTTGTCTTTTCATTTGGGTTTATCGAACATCGATCCCAACTAGTTTGGGATAAAGGTGGTGTTGATAGATATTAATGTTGTAAATGTTTGTATTATGCAGGTTTGGACATGTTTATAGTAATCTACAGTCCCGGTTGACAAAAACATTGCTGAATGCATTCTTGGATCCCAAGAAGTCATTGACGCAACACTACGGTGCAATTCAAGGGTTAGGAGCACTGGGACCCAATGTGGTATATGCCCCTCTCCCTGCTATTTGCAATTATGGAATTAGTCAAAGACCAAAAATCATAAAAATATTGTGAATGAAAAAATCAATAAACCAGAACATTTGTATTTATTCTATGTTGGAAATTAGCCCTGCAATGTGTATTGTAGAATGTTGTCTTGCATGGTATCAGAAATAGCTGATTGGAATTTGTTTTTATACCCAAAATAATAAAATAAAATTGTTTAGGTGCCTGGGAAGAAGAAGTTATTGTTTCATAGGAAAGATTGGGGTAGGAAGTTTTTGTTGGACACTAGGGGAAGAAATGTAATTTCGTATTTAGCAGCCTTAACAAATTTGATCCTTTAAGCTCAACCTTTTTTTAATCAATTAGATCACTAAACGAAATTGATTAATTTAATCCTTAAGGTTTCAATTTCTATAAAATTATGTCCCATAATATCATTTTGTTTGTTAAAACCACAACTTTCCAATGTACTGACTATATACGCTTATCGTTATACTTATCATTTGGTTCCCATGTTTGTTTAGGAAGAAAATGCTGTTTCATTGTAAATTCAATATTGTGAAGTATATTGAGACCTTAGTTAAATTCTTGATTTCGGGAAAAAGTAAGTTGCTGCATCTGCATGCTTGATGTTTATTCATATAACTTATTGAGCATAAAAGTAACATGGTTTTGTTATTTAATCCAATGGGCAATGGCATTCTTGAGAGTGAAATTGAATAGAAGTGGGAACTTTAAGGATCAAATTGACTAATTTCAAAACAGCCATACATGCATGTGATATACTTCTTAGTTGTTTGATTTAAGTCAGATTTAATACTTACATCTGAGGCCTTCACTTTGGATGCATATTTGAATGTAGGTTCGCCTTCTTTTGCTGCCAAATCTTGAAACATATATGCAACTTCTTGAACCAGAGATGCTTCTCGAGAAGCAGAAAAATGAAATGAAAAGGCATGAAGCTTGGCGTGTTTATGGAGCCTTGCTGGTAAGATATGTTGACTGATACAGATACTTATGAGTAAAAAGGAGGTGCTTTGAGAACTGAAAAACATCAGTCTCAGTGTATGGTTGATCTGATGATTGTATGTATTATTTAGCATGCTGCAGGTCAGTGTATATATGATCGACTAAAGATGTTCTGATGATTGTATGTATTATTCAGCGTGCTGCAGGTCAGTTTATATATGATCGACTAAAGATGTTCCCAACTTTTCCATCTCCTCTTCTTCATGCTGTCTGGAAGACCAATGCAAGAGTTCTTACTTCTTCAACTAGTGAGTATTTTACTTGTTGCCCAAGAAAATACTGGTCAAATGTTCATGCAATGTCTATCATAGTTTTTAAACCTGCTCATAGGAGGGAGGACACCTGGTGCTTGAGTAGTTGTTTGAATGGAAACCAATGTGTATAATAGCCACAAAGAAAGTGATCTTCATGACAATATGGGATGAAGCTTTTGAACCCGAAGCAATGGTGATATCTGGTCATAATTGTTTTTACTAAATCATATGACGTTGAAATAATAAATTGATTTCTTTTTTAAACAAAGCGAATGCATGTATTGAGGAATATATTTGAAATTAGAAATACAAATGTTTAATTGAATTATATTGTTTCATCAGGTAAATAGATTGCTTTTCAGAATGTTCTACTCCACGTGAATTTTTGGTTTGAGTTGGGAAGCTCTACATCATATAAAAAAACCAATGCACTTAGAAGTACTCATTTTTTGAATGTCAGCCATTTTCTTGTGGAAATGTGTTCATTTTAGTTTTTTTTTTTTTCATTTGGATATTATTTACTGGAGTTTTCTTCAGTTTAACCTTTCTAAGTTATTGTACTCAATAATGAATTCACATGTTTAGAAAGATTTTCTTTCTAAAAGAAATTACAAAATCTTTTCATTGAAAGTAACTGGCAATTTGACCAGTAATGGCTGATAACTATATGCTAAAGCTGGTAACCAAGTTCTTTGCTAGGATATCATCTAAGCTGCATTTCTTTTTTTTAATGTACTAAAGAGTAATGCTTCCAAACCACCTTGCAGCAGTTACAACTTCTTTTACTTGGTTGTTAGTTACTAATGTTATTCATAAAGGTTTGATGATATAAAAAGTATGCAGTAGTCCTCTTGAGACTTTCACAAGTCTGGTCTGTAGTTTGCCAAACCATAGTATCAAATATAAGCTTTGCACTTTTCCATGATTAGTTTGTATACTAACTCCTTCCCATAATTGATTATCAAGATAAACGCAAGGCAAGCCTTGAGCAATTAGAACACCAGCCACCTTTGAAGAAAAATGCTACTGATGGTGAGGTTGGTGTGGTTCTGACAAATTCCTCTCCATTTCGTAAGGAAGGGGAGGCAGGGATTCAAGCTGATTCAATCATGGGCTCATCATCATCTTCTGGACAGATGAAAAATGAGACCACGTTAGATGACGAAGTTAGAAGTAACAGGGATGATACTCAGGCATTGAAGACATCTGCTGCCCTCGCCCAGGTTTGGAAGGATGATCTGAATTCTGGTCGTATCCCGGTGTTACTGTTTGAGTTGTTTGGTGAAGGCATTCTTTCCTTCGTTCGGGCTCCTGAGATGTATATGTTCTTGTAACTTGGAGTATTATAATAACTTTGTTTATGCCTTTATGGATGGATCATGGATAACCTATAGATAATAATTTTGAGCAAACTAAACTTACTCCTTTGTATAAAATTTATAATTTTCTTTTGTGGTTCATGTGAAACTTGCCTTGATGCTTTATAATATGTTGGATGATATTGCTCATTGGATTTTGAGTAATTGCTACCATGTCAAATTCCTTGTTGCAGCCTGATGGAAATTCAAATAATAACCAAAATACTGATATGGGGATATGAACTGGTTATTGGATCTAGACAGTCATTACTCATCATTCTCATAAGTACAATCCCTTTTTCCTTTTCTGACAACTCAGATTTAAGACAGTTTAGTTCATAAAGATTTGAGGAATTCAGAACAAAAACAATTTAAGCAGATATTCTACTGAAAACAGAAATAACAACAAACAGGACATTAAAACATAACAATCCTTGCTGAACTTTAAATCTCTGAGCTTGAGTAGGGAGTAGTTCTTAGGCAGACACTTTATTGGACTCTCTTTCAACTGCTTTTTTCAGGATGCTGTCTTCTTCCAAGACCATCTGAACTGGTAAGAAACCCATTCCATCTGCCATGGCAAGCATCATCTGCTTGGTTTCCTTCTTGAATTCTTCCAGATCAACTGTGCCATTCAAGTTGTGATCGAATTGGATGAACAAGGATTCATAAACACGAGCAAGCTCATCCGGGTCAGGCTCCACATCAATACCAAAGTGGGTTTCAAAAACTCTCAGGCTTTGTAGCTCCTTCAACATCTCTGCATAGGAAAGAAGACCATCCTTGTCTGTATCAAGGTGAGCGAACAGGTTACACACCGAGATACTAAATGCTTCTTCATCCTCAAGGAAGTTGACAATGGTGTCACCATCCAAGATTTCTACACTCATCTTTCTCTTCTATTAGATGTCAAATGGAAGGTAGTTTGTATGTATAAAAACTTAAAAGCAGAGGATTATATGTTTGCAAATGCTAGTGCTAGTGCTTTGACGAAAAGAGTTGGATTCCTCCTAGTGTATATATAGCCATTGGTAGTTGGTTCCTAGAGCATAATAACTAGCATAGATACCAAAGGAAAAATGGTATCGAAACCTCCTCTTGTTTTTATGTCCCTTGTTTAATTCGTGTCTTTGTTTATTGTATAGCCAAACCGACTAAATTGGATGCTTCCTTACGTAAACCTTTGGGTCGTGATTGTTGGAACATGGAATTGTTCCCTGTCTACATTCCAGTAATACATAGATCTATGGTGGAAAATGATCGGCATTTAGGGAAGCATGATAAGATAATTATTCATCATCGGGGTAAATTATTTAAATCAAACGGCTTAGATCAAATGGGTCATGAGTGGGGTAATTGTTGTGCCCAGAAGTCAATGGGCCTTTGAAATTCCAATTGGCGGAATCAGCGTTGAAAGTCTAAAACCCTTTAAGTGTAGGCCGAACCAGTGAACAATAGCCTAGTTTGATTGGACATGGTCTTTCATTGAAATATGTCTAAGCGAAGCACGAGTTGATAGTCTTAAACAAGGGTACCCACGGATTATTTTAACACTATTCAATTAGCGGAATTTATGCTTTGCAGTTTGCAATATAAAGGATCTTCTTGGTTTCTTCTTCTTATTCTTTTTAACAACTTGTTGCCCCGGGGTTAATATCAAAGCACTAGAATACCTGTTTCTGAAAGGACTTTATTATCATATTTTAAGAAAAATGCATAGCCACCCTTTCGAACTTCACTTTAGATTAGCACGAGTTACTATATGTTCGGTTCTGTTAAACCGTATAATGATATCTTAAGGGTATGCGCTCAGAGATATCCTATGAATAGGTATCTTGGTTGGCTTATAGCCAATATCCCTATCATTGCGCACAAGCAATAGGCTTATAGCCGAGACGTAGGTGTGTGCACAGTGTGGGCAGAAGTAGTAAATGAGTTCAGTGTGTATACTTGGGGTCTTTAACCTCTTATTTATAAGGGTTACCTCTTGGGCTTGTGTAGATCTCCCAGTTGTAGTAGGATTTAACTTCCTTTCTGTTGGGATAGGGACTCTATCCTTAGCTGTCTTACTGTTTTATATTGTTAGAATAATTAGAGAATTATCCTTTAAGGGATCCTTGGGTAGGTGGTTAGGATATGTAAATATTCCATAACAGTTGCCCCCCAGCCCGGCAGTTCGGAAGCTCGGAGTGCTGGGGTGCCTAAGTTTGATTGATAGGTCGACCCTACCGAGGTACTATGATCCTGCCTTGGGTCTGGTGTGACTACCTCTTCTGGGTTTAGCTTTTTATATTGGCTTCTTTTCTCTTGAAGTCTCTGAGTGGTGAGGCGGTGTTTGCCTTTTTTGTTGACTTTGAGCTCGGCTTCTCTTGCCGAGATTTTTTAATTTGACTTGGCTTTTGCCTTGCCTACACTTTTGAAGGCAGTATATTTGCCTTTCTGATTTTAGCCCGGCTTAATGTACCGTGGCTTTTCTAGACTTTTTGCCATATTTTGTTTGAGCCCGGCTTCGCATACCGTCTTGATTTGTCTTTTATCTTAAATTGGGGTGTGATCCTTTTCTTAAGATCACATCTCTCATTTTCTGTCTTCATTTTGATCTCGGAGCCTGAAGCTATGGCTTAGGCTGAGTTGAAGCTCAAGGCTGAGGCCGAGCTTTAATCTTGAAGCCCTTCATTGGGCTGAATTGGAGCTCAAGGCTAAGGCCGAGCTTTTAAGCTTGAAGCCCTTCGTTGGGCTGAGCTGAAGCTCAAGGCTGAGGCCGAGCTTTTAATTTTAAAGCCCTTCACTGGACTAAGTTGGAGCTCAAGGCTAAGGCCGAGCTTTTAAACTTGAAGCCCTTCGTTGGGATGAACTCAAGGCCGAGGCCGAGCTAATGAATTTTGAAGCCCTTTGTTGGGCTGAGTTAAAGCTCAAGGCTGAGGCCGAGCTTTTAATTTTAAAACCCTTCACTGGGCTGAGTTGGAGCTCAAGGCTAAGGCCGAGCTTTTAAACTTGAAGCCCTTCGTTGGGCTGAGCTCAAGGCTGTGGCCGAGCTCTTAAATTTAAAGCCCTTCACTGGGCTGAGTTGGAGCTCAAGGCTGAGACTGAGCTCTTAAACTTGAAGCCCTTCGTTGGGTTGTGCTCAAGGCCGTGGCCGAGCTCTTAAACGGGAAGCCTTTCGTTGGGCTGAGCTCAAGGCTGTCGCCGAGCTCTTAAACTTAAAGCCCTTCACTGGGCTAAGTTGGAGCTCAAAGCTGAGACTGAGCTCTTAAACTTGAAGCCCTTCGTTGGGCTGAGCTCAAGGCTATGGCCGAGCTCTTAAACTTGAAGCCCTTCGTTTGGCTGAGCTCAAGGCTGTGGTTGAGCTCTTAAACTTAAAGCCCTTCACTGGGCTGAGTTGGAGCTCAAGGCTGAGGCTGAGCTCTTAAACTTGAAGGCTTTCGTTGGGCTGAGCTCAAGGCTGTGGCCGAGCTCTTAAACTTGAAGCCCTTCACTGGGCTGAGTTGGAGCTCAAGGATGTGGCTGAGCTCTTAAACTTGAAGCCCTTCGCTGGGCTGAGCTCAAGGCTGTGGCCGAGCTCTTAAACTTGAAGCCCTTCGTTGGGCTGAGCTCAAGGCCGTGGCCGAGCTCTTAAACTTAAAGCCCTTCACTGGGCTGAGTTGGAGCTCAAGGCTGAGGCTGAGCTCTTAAACTTGAAGCCCTTCGTTGGGCTGAACTCAAGGCCGTGGCCGAGCTCTTAAACTTAAAGCCTTCACTGGGCTAAGTTGGAGCTCATGGCTGATGCCGAGCTAATATATTTGAAGTGCGACGACGAGAATCTCTGTCAAATCGTTATCTTCTTGGATTTAGAGCTCCATTCTAGAGTCTCTCGGAGGATCAAAAGCCCTTTTTGCGGTAGGGTTTGTCTCCTTATATATATGTGTGGTTTCAGCAATTTCAGGGTGCGCGAGTTAGCCTGCAATCTGTGGCTTTGTGCTATACGGCACGCGTGTTCACCATGGATGGGAGTCGAAATTTGCAGTTTCCCACAGACGACGCCAATGTTCGGTTCTATTAAACCGTATAATGATACCTTAAGGGTATGCGCTCAGAGATATCCTATGGATAGGTATCTTGGTTGGCTTATAGCCAATATCCCCATCACTGCACACAAGCAATAGGTTTATAGCCGAGACGTGGGTGTGTGCACAATGTGGGCAGAAGTAGTAAATGAGTTCAGAGTGTATACATGGGGTCTTTAACTTCTTATTTATAAGGGTTACCTTTTGGGCTTGTGTAGATCTTCCAGTTGTAGTAGGATTTAACTTACTTTCTGTTGGGATAGGGACTCTATCCTTAGCTGTCTTACTGTTTTATATTGTTAGAATAATTGAAGAATTATCCTTTAAAGGATCCTTGGGTAGGTGGTTATGTTATGGAAATATTCCATAACAGTATATAACAAAATCCCACAAGTACATTTTTTTAAAAAAAATTGTGCTTGATAATCAATTACGGGAAGGAGTTAGTATACAAACTTAAAATTAGTATGTACCTGTCTTGGTCATAGCATGATACGATTCATAAATCTAACAATACTTTTGTATCGAATAATATAGTATTGTATTTTACAATATGTGTATTATATGATACAAAAATTAAATAAAAAATATAATTTTTAATATAAAAAATATAATTTTTAATATAAAAAATATAACTTTTAATATAAAAAATATAACTTTTAATATAAATAAATAAAAATTTGATTTGCGATTTAAATTAAAAAAAATTAAAAGGATTCTTTTTGGAAAATAATTATGGATTAGTTATGTCACTAATTGTTGAGAAATATAGTCTCACATTGGTTGTATGAGCAACTAATGTGAGGTTTATAAGGCCTTGGGCACTCCCACCCTTTGAGCTAGCCTTTTGGGGTGGTGTATCCCAAGGTTCCTTATATGGTATCAGAGCATTCGAAATCTCACCGCCTCCCACTTTCTTTGTAGTGGAATTTCCACATGTAGGTGGACTTGTATGTTGTCCACCCTTCAAGCCCAGTGGGCTCTCGTGTGAGGGGGTATGTTGAGAAATATAGTCTCACATTGGTTGTATGGGCAACTAATGTGAGGTTTATAAGGCATTGGGCACTCCCACCCTTTGAGCTAGCTTTTGGGGTGGTGACCTCAAGGTTCTTAACACTAATAGATGCTGATAGTGATAGTAGTGATGTTATTAGTCTTAATAATTGATAAGTAAGAGAAAAATTGGTTTGTATTTTAATTATTTATGTATTTTGCTTATTGGATTTTTTTGAAATTTGGATTTATATGATATTAATTATATTATATTTTTGTATTACGATTTGAAACGATTCACGATACACGATACAAAAAACTGGCCAAACAATACATAATATGTATTGCAATTCAATATCATTGGTCTCAGTAATATAATCCAATAATCCAATCAATTTTAAATGTAAAATTAAAATTATGCTTTTCTTTAAAGAGATAGGATATTGTTAGTTTGTTACTTACTACTAATTAGTATTACTACCAATGTCATTATCACTTTATTTCATCGTTAGATCGATTATGTTGATCCAACAATTATATTTGTTTCAACCTTTATATAGTTATGATTCTTTATATTTAACGTGAAAACATTAAATATTAAAAATTATAATCATACAAAACTGAAAATAAATATAAATTATTGAATATAGGGAGAAGAAAGAAGTTTTTAAAAAATTAAATCATAACCGTTTGATCAATATAATTGATCTAACGGTAAAATAAAAGGGTAGTGGTAGTGACATTAATAGCAACACTAATTGATAGTAATTAGTAAGAATGTCTTATTTCCTTTTCTTTTCTTTTTTTATAACAATCCTATTTCCCTTTTAGAATGAAAAAAAAAATGAATTCTTTTGTCTGAAAAAAGTTAAAAATTCTTTTTTTTTTTAAATAGTGATTCAAATACAAAACAATTAAAAAAATCATGATTTTAAAAAACGTTACAGAGAGAGGGGAGGGGGGCTGTAAGCCTGTAACAGTTAGTGTGTGGTAAGTTGGACAAAATGTCCCCAACCACCAACGTAGTGGTTCTAGACAACGGCGGCGGCCTCATTAAAGCCGGCCTCGGCGGCGAACGCGACCCCTCCGCCATTCTCCCTAACTGCCTCTACCGCTCCCCCGCCTCTAAAAAATGGCTCCACCCAAATCCCCTCAACCACGCCACCACCACCGAACAAGACCTCACCTCTGCCTCCGTCCGCCGCCCCATGGACAGAGGTTACCTAATAAATCCAGACCTCCAGCGCGAAATCTGGTCCAACCTATTTTCCTCGATCCTCCGTATAAACCCTTCACACTCCTCCCTCCTCGTCACGGAACCCCTCTTCACTCTGCCCTCCATCCAACGCTCAATGGACGAGCTCGTCTTCGAAGATTTCAACTTCAGGTCACTCTACGTTGCCGACTCACCCTCCCTCGTTCACCTCTACGAGGCCAGCCGCAGGCCCAATGGGCTCGTCTCCAGGGCCCAGTGCAGCCTCGTCGTGGACTGTGGCTTCTCCTTCACGCACGCTTCCCCTGTGTTCCAGAACTTCACCCTAAACTACGGCGTTAAGAGGATCGATTTGGGTGGGAAAGCCCTCACCAATTACCTGAAGGAACTTGTCTCCTTTCGCGCTGTTAATGTCATGGAAGAAACATTCATCATCGATGATGTCAAGGAAAAGCTTTGCTTCGTTTCCCTCGACGTCCCTCGCGACCTCCACATCGCCAGGTTTTGTTTCTTCATTTTGCTTACCTATTATTTTTATTTTATTTTTTATATTATTATTATTTTACTAGACTAATTCGATTCGAGTAGAATTATGAAAAAAATATGTATCATTTCAAAAGAGGTAAAGTTATGTCATTTGAAGTATGAGTGTGCAAAATAACCAAAAAAGGTGGGTCGAACCATGAACCGAACCAAACCGTCCCATAAAATAACCAGTTTTTAAAAACCAGTTCAAGAACCGAACCGGTTTTTAAAGAACCGAACCGGTTTTTAAAGAACCGAACCGGTTTTTAAAGAACCGAACCGGTTTTTAAAGAACCGGTTCATGAACCGAACCGGTTTTTAAAGAACCGATTTAAGAACCAAACCGGTTTTTAGAACCGGTTCCGAACCGAACCGAACCATTTTCAAATCAAATCAAATTAATTTTTATCTTTTTTTTTTAAATTTTTAATTTTTTTTCTTTTCAATAGAGGGTCGACCCGAACCGGTTCCGAACCACTTCCGATCCGAACCGAACCACTTCCGAACCAAACCATTTAAACCAATTTGGTTTGGTTTTTCAAAAAATCCGATTCGGTTCGACCCATGCATATCCCTAATTTTAAGTGAGAGAAAGAGATAGATAAAGGGAGAGAGACTGGATCAAAAAAAATAAAGGTGTAGATCCCACCTCTTTGTGAGAGTGAAATGACATAAGTTGTGTCAGAAACACTTTTCCCTAGAATTATGTAGGTGACAAAGCTCTTATCAATTTTTAATATAGTTGCGTTCCTAGTGACTCAAAGCTTTTCTTATCAATTTTTAATATAGTTGCGTTCCTAGTAACTCGAATTCGAGACCATGGTTAAGTTGAAATAACCCCTAGTCAGTTGATCCACGTGCTTGATGGTGTTTTGTTATTATTTTTGAATCTTAGCTTATGTCTTATATTTATTTTTGTTATGTTAGCTTCATTTCATGGGAGTGGTTTATATTTATTATATGTTGCTTCATTTCAATATAGGAAGAGTGGAAAAGAGAATCTCTTCAGGAGCACATATGTGCTACCTGATGGTGTTACATACACGAAGGGGTTTGTTAAATATCCAGAGAAAGCGTGCCAATATCTTGCTTTGAGGGATGGTGGTTTTCCTCCTCCTTCTATTCCACCTTTGGAAACTAGGAGGGATATGAATTGCAACGAAATTGTTGAGCAGCCTGAGGAGGACAGAAAGAGAGTTGATTTGACAAAAAATGTATATGCTGGCATTTATTTATTTTTAGTGTGACATTGATTTATGGCAATGATTTTCATGTTTTTGCTTAATTTTGCTTTGTGTTCCTGTAGGAATTCGACTTGACAAACGAACGGTTTCTTGTCCCGGAGATGATCTTCCGTCCTGCTGATTTGGGTATGTCTTTGTGTATTTTAATTCTAGTACTATTTTCAAATGACATACGAGTTAATTCTTTGGATGATGAGTTTCTTTGAGTGGAATGTAAATGAGGATTTTAATTAGTCTAATTTTGATCATTTTCTCATTGTGAATAACATACTGCAATGCTGCAGGAATGAACCAGGCTGGGCTAGCAGAGTGCATTGTACGAGCTGTTAATTCCTGCCACCCACATCTCCACCCTGTGCTCTATGAAAGGTAAATAATTCAAACCATTGGATTTGATTCTTCTCTCCTGTTTGTGGATGTTTGCATCATTTTCTTAATTCTCGTTCTCATTTTTCATTGCTGTGCGTGCATTTTCTCGGCAGCATCATTTTAACTGGTGGAAGCACCTTATTTCCTCAGTTTGCTGAGAGACTGTAAGTTTGTTTCGGCCACTACACTTTGTACCGTGATGCCATAAATTTCTTGCACTTTGTTGACCTATCTTTTTTGGCCTGTGTAGCGTGGTGTACAAATTTAAATAATTGATTCTAAATGTTGTAGAGAGAAGGAGCTTCGGCCTCTAGTTCCTGATGACTATCATGTGAAGATAACTACTCAAGAGGAGTAAGCATCTTTTCCTTGATAGTTTTGTTTCATTTCCTGTAAGTAGAGAATTTCCATTAAAGAACTTATGGTTCTTCTACAGCCCCATACTGGGTGTTTGGCGAGGAGGATCGCTGTTGGCATCGAGTCCAGATTTTGAAGCAATGTGCGTGACCAAGTCTGAGTATGAGGAGCTTGGTTCTGCTAGATGTCGCAAGAGATTCTTTCATTAACTAATGCATGCAATCAACATGGCTATGCTAATCTTGTAAGTAAGTATATTATGTACTATTTATTTATTGAGATTCATAAAGATGTCTTTCTTTTATTATTCTGTATCATTTCCTATAAGACAGTGAACTGCCATTGTAACGTGTGCAAATGGAGAATAGTGACTAAAGCCACTGTAAATTACTGCATGGTTCAGCCAATGTTTTGTCCTGTTATCTTTCCAATGGAATCTTGCTTGGGACCAAGGTGTGAATTCTGGATGATCATCTTCTCTAGAAAGGGTTTATTTGAGAAGCCAAATATTTAGTCTGCAGTTTTCAAGTGAGCATGATACAGGCAGACCGGTGTTTTGGATCAGGGTCCATAGGATGGTGACTTCCCTTTCATTTACAACGAGTTAAAGTGTCACCTAATGTGGTCTTTGCAAAGATTTTGCCACTGGCATATAATATAATGCCCGTTTTTTTTTTTTTTTTTTTTACTTTAACAACTTAAATGTAACTTTTAACTTTAAAAAAATGTGCCAACCAGACTCTTATTAATTTATTTAAATTACATTATTTCCATTTTTCTTAATTCTTTTATTTTTTTCTCATACCCGACAAGTCTCTACTTCCTATTCTTAGTCAATTTCAGTATTACAAAAATCGGCTTGAACCGGTTAGTTCGAATCGTAAATCGGTGAATCGGTTAGATAACCGGTTTGAGTTGCTTAATGGATCAGACATGATATCGAACCTAAGTGAACTGGTATAAACCCACAAAACTCAGTCAGTTTGGAAAAAATCGGATGCATTATACAATTTTGAAAGAAAAAAAGTTATAGATTTGAGTCCATCTTGCTTCTGCATCTTCCGCCTTATGATGAACAACACTAGATCTCTCGGCTGACAACAACAAAGACTTGTTGGTGGCAGATCTAAGCAATGGGTCGTGGATTTGGGTGCTGGGGTGTAGATCTACAAGTTTGGTCACATATTTGGTGCGAACAGAGACAAATATTGCTTAAGAAGTAGCTAGTAAACTCAGACCCATAGTGACATCTCTTCTTTGCGTGATCGATTTGTGGTTGCTGGGTGTGACTGGTTGATATTTTCTTTGCATTAGGAGGAGGCTGCTGTCAATGAAAAATGGACGTGAAATAAAGAGGTATTCAACCTTTTCTTTATTTTTTGGGTTTGCAGTGACTGGTTTAATGATTTATGGGCTGTGTAAACTATGTTTGAAACCCATAAATCATAAATAATTTATTTGTTTGCAGTGATTTATTATGGGCCCAATAAGTCTATTAATGATTTGGGTTTTATGTTTTAAGTCCATAAATTAAAATGTTACAGATTTGTAATAAATCAAAGCCCAAATTTACCAAATGGTGATAGCTCAGTTGGCGCATGGGAGCTGAGCAGGTGGGGTGAGAGCATGTGTTCGATCATCTCCAGTACCACCTTTTGGAGGAGTTTAAAGCCTTAATCCTGAACCCGCCCCGAATCGGACTAGTCGCTAAGTGACGAACCGATTGAAATATTCCAAAAAAAAAAAAGGGCCAAAATTGAATTGATATTATTTCTTAGATGTATTTAAGTCTTTTTAGAATTTTTAAGTATAAAATATAAATTTTCATATACTTATCCGAGCCAAACGGTTCAATCGGTGAGCCATCGGTTAAATTAGTGATCTAGTAACCCTTCAAAGCACGGACACGCTCCCTGGAAAAAAATTTGCGTGTCAGACCCGTGTCCCACACGGACACGCTTCGACATGCTCGGACACGCGTCCGACACGCAGTCAACATTTGGGGACACACGGTCAACTCTCTGACACGTTTTATCGACACACGGTCAATTTTTTCGGACACGCGGTCAACGCTCGAACACGTTTTTTTTTTTTTAAATCTTAATTTTATTTTGTTAACTAAATATAAAAGAAAGAGTAAATACCCTTCTGGGTCCCTAACAAAAAACACGGTTCCCACTTTAGTCCCTTACAAAAATAAATTAGTCAGTTAGTCCCTAACAAATTCAAAGTGGACCCATTTTAGTCCTTTTGAGGGACTAATATGGGATTTTTTTGAATTTGTGAGGGACCAAGATTTCAACTAAATGAGTCCACTTTGAATTTGTTAGAGACTAATTGACTAATTTATTTTTGTGAGGGACTAAAGTGGAGACCGTGTTTTTTGTTAGGGACCAAAAATGGTATTTACTCTAAAAGAAATAATTTATAAATTAATTTTTTTCTGTTATGAAATTTGACATGAAAAATTAACAAAGTACGAAAAATTATTTATATTTATATTTATGTTACGAAATTTAAATATTTGATTGGTTATATGACTTATTATGGACTCTTATATGTATTAAATATAAATTATATTATATATATTAAAAATTTTATTTAATATCAAAACGTGTCCTAACATATCGAAATATGACATTTTTTAAAATTAACGGTCAGTGTATCGTGTCGTATCCCGTATCTGTGTCCGTGCATCATAGTAATAACCTAGTATCCCGACCAGGTCAATGATGGAATCGGGTGTAATAACATTTGTCAATTTTATTTCATCTAGTTGTACCTAAACGAGTACGAATATAAAGTTATATTCATAGAGCGAGTAGGTTGTTTCCTTGTGGTTCTTAACTGTTTTAAACTTTGCTTAATTAAAATAACTTTTCTTAATTATTTTATTGAATAATTTATTATTTCTCACTTATTCTTAATTAATTATTTGCACTTAAATTTTAAAAAATAATTATTTAATTTATTAATTAAAAAATTTCGCCTTTAATTTAAAATGAGACAACCTCCCTTCTCTTCAAATTTTTAAATAACATAAAGAAATTGGTATACAACATTTTAATATTTCAAATTCTCATTATTTTATATTTTTAGTGTTTTATTTAAATTTATAGATTTAATACTTATTTTATTATAAATTAAAATATAAAAGATTTAAAATAATTATAAGGGATATAGATTTCTCCTATTACAAGAGAAGAATTTTTTTTCCTATAAACACAATACAAAGGTGTGTTTATAGTTCTAAAACCTAATATACTTTGTACTTTGACTATATGATTGGGTTTGTTTAATTTTTTTTTTAAAAAAAGATTTAAAACTTTTTCGATATAATGTATTTTGGATATAAAAGAAAAGAAAAAACATCTATCCTTTTAAAGGATATAAATTTATATCACTTTAGATCCTAATCGTTGATTTCCGTCAATCAACAGTTATACTCTATTAGGTCAAACTCAATGGGCCAAATTTATTATTAATTAATTAATAATTTTGATCCAATAAATTATAACCGTTGATGGAGAGAAATCAACGGTGAGGATCTAAAATTATATAAGCTTATATCTTTTAAAATAACAGATGTTATTCCCATAAATAAATTAATACAAATAGACAAAATCTTAATTAAATCAAATTATGTTTTAATTCTCTAAAATCATAAGGATGTATCCATACACCAGTTACCTGTATTAACTAGTATGGATGCTAACAGTGAAGGCCCTATTCTTTGACAAAGGCACCTTCAAAACTAACTGGACTGCAAAAACTCATTTTAAGGTCAGTTAACTGATCGAATGCAATAGTATGGGACTAACGCAATTTCCTATCTGCAAAGGGAATGAGCTGCATTTTTAAATATTCACTTGTTTCTACTGTTCATAATATTACCTATGTAGTTCATATGCAGATTCTAAACAAGTTACTACACCCAAAGTATACCCCACATACTCTTATATAAACATATCTAGTCTCGTTTTAGCAAGCGGTGGAGGAGAAATGAGTTCAAGGATCAATTCTGGAAACTCTCAAGTATACTGATATTAAATTTTACTAAGATAATACGATGCATAAAGTTCTGCATTTTTCACACTCAAACTAAAGGAACTAGCCAATCCTGACAATAGGTCCAAAGATGCTCTTTAACTCCTTCAAATAATCCTCATACACCTTTGTTTCTATCTGCTGGCTGTTATCAAGCAAATTTCTGGCTTTCGCAATCACTGAACTAATCTTCATTTTGTCTTCTGGACGAAGCTTAGATCTGATATTAATATTATACACAGCATTCTGTATCTTGTAAACATAATCATCCAAAGCATTCATTGCTGTAACTTTCTTCTGGTACTTCTCATCTTCATCCTTGTATTTCTCAGCTTCTTGAATCATGCTCCGAATTTGTTGAATTGATAGTCTTCCTTTGTCATTGGTTATGATAATCTCTTTCTCATTGCCAGTGGCTTTTTCCTTAGAAGAAACAGTTAGGATACCATCAGCATCTATAGCAAAGCAATCTTCCATAAGAAGGCCTCGTGGAGCAGGAGGAAGTGAAAGATTAAACGAACCCAACAAGTTATTATCGCTGGCTCTTGTCCTCTCACCCTCATAAACCTCAATCAAGGCAGTTGATTGGTTATCTACAGTTGTAACAAAAGTTTTTGTCTTCTTTACAGGAATGGTAGTGTTCCTAGGAATCACCACACTCATGAGATCACCTACTACTGATACACCAAGTGACAGCGGTGTAACATCCATTAACACTATATTCGGAACAAACCTATTGCTTTTACTCAACAAAGCAGCCTGGACAGCTGCTCCATAAGCAACAGCCTCGTCCGGGTTGATGCTCTTGCAGAGATCCTTCCCCTTGAAGAAGTCCTGCAATAACTGCTGCACCTTGGGAATCCTACTAGAGCCACCAACAAGAACAACATCATGTACATTACTCTTGTCCATCTTGGAATCAATAAGACACCTATCTACGGTCTCCATGCATTTTGTAAAGAGGTCCATGTTGATTTCCTCAAACCTTGCTCGAGTGATTGATGAACATAAGTCAATGCCCTCAAATAAAGCATCTACTTCAACAGCAGTATCAACTGCGTATGAGAGTGTCCTTTTTGCCCTCTCACACACAGTTCTCAACCTCCTCAGGGCTCTTGGGTTCCCACTAATGTCCACTTTCTTCTTCCTCTTGAACTCCTGTGCAAAGTAGTTCACAATTCTATTATCAAAGTCCTCTCCTCCAAGGTGAGTGTCTCCAGCAGTGGCCTTAACTTCAAAGACATCACCCTTAATTGTGAGGAGAGACACATCAAATGTACCACCACCAAGATCAAAGATAAAAATATTTCTCTCACCAACACAATTAGATCTTTTTTCAAGGCCATATGCAAGAGCTGCAGCGGTGGGTTCATTGATTATCCGCATAACATTGAGGCCAGCAATGGCACCAGCATCTTTGGTAGCTTGACGCTGAGAGTCATTGAAATAAGCAGGAACAGTAACAACAGCATTCTTCACCGGTGACTCCAAATATGCCTCTGCAATCTCACGCATCTTTGTGAGGACCATGGATGAGATTTCCTCAGCAGATATTTGTTTTTCCTGACCCTTGTATGAAACAAGGATCATCGGTTTGTCATTAGTACCAGCAATGACCTTGAATGGCCATAGCATTAGATCATTCTGAATAATGGGATCACTATATCTTCTACCAATCAGCCTTTTCGCATCTGAAAAAATTAAAGAATAAAATTAATAATTTCCTCTTCTGACTTTTTTTAAGTTTTCAAATTTCACTTTCAATTAACTTTCATTCCAAATTATTGTTTTAAATTATTGAATTAGGACGTTTTCTTGAAAGGTAAGATTTATGTTAAATGCAAAACATCATTCATGTTAAATATGAATTAGGTAAGATTTATCCGTTAATGAAGTTAATAGAAGTAACATTCAGAGAGAAGAACGTTGAGTGAATTTAATAACTTAGCTGCTAATCTGAACAAAGAAGAGTTAGAGAATGAATTTGATAAACTAAAAAGTAAAGTATTATTTTGTGCCGCAAAATAAATAACGAAAGTTAAGTTATAATTTGTTCATCTAAAAGCAAACATAGAAATAATAAATGTAGACATTTAAAGGAACCCACAAAACAGAAGAATATTCATTTATTACCAAAGACAGTGTTGGTGGGGTTGGAGGCAGCCTGATTCTTAGCAGCATCGCCAATCAACCTTTGGTTGTCAGTAAAAGCAACACAAGAAGGAGTAATAGTGTTGCCCTGGTCGTTGTGAATGATCTCCCCGCGATTGTGTTGCTCTTGCCATACTGCAACACATGAGTATGTTGTGCCAAGGTCTATTCCCACCGCACATCCCTCATATTGTTTTGCCATTCTCTTTCTAGTGATTGTAGAATGTGTTCAAAAGATTAGAGTCAGACATAGGAACTCATATAGCAAAGAGGAAGAATTCATTTTGATTTTCATAATTGAGAAATTAAATATATAAGTCATACATTTTATATATGTATATTATTATTGCAATAAATTGAATTTATTTTCTTTATGAACAATCAAGACTTATTCTCATAAATGAATGAGTAGACCTGCAATGCTTCATAAACGAATGGAGGGTTAAAAAAATTAAAAATTTAAGAAACCCTGTTCTTTGAGTGAAGATCTCACTTGTTTGTACCATGTCACTGTTAACTTTGTAAATTTATTTCTGTTAATTTATTCTTATAAGTTTGAAGAGTCTTTTACGGTAACCTATTTGAAAAAACAAGGTACTGAATGTATTTGGGAAATCCAATCCCTCTTTCCAAAAAATTTGAGAACTCTTAGTGAAAAAATTCTTCCTTCTGGGAGTATATTCATCTTTGTAAAATTACATATTGTAAAATCACATGTTTAGTTGGCAAAAGAGTGAGTGGAAGCAAAGGTGGTGAATGAGTGAGTGAGTGCATCATTCAAGACCAAACTTGAAGCATAGAGAGATAACAGTTTTACCTTGAACCGACCGTGAATGAAAAAACAGTTGCGATTCTATCTGGCCTGTTTTGCTTTCAAAGCTTCTCTTCACAAATTACTCTTTGGAATACTCGAACGTCTCAAAAACTACCTCATTCTCTCTCGACTCGAAGCAATATTTCAACTCTGTTCTGAACCCTTTTGATATGTTTATCCTTTTTTTCTCTTTTTCTTTTTCCCTTTGTTAACTTTTTCCTTTTGACCTTTTTTTTTCCCCAAAGAAGTTAGTATCAATATTATTATTATATTTTAATTAATTTTTGTGGTTATTATTTTCACAAATTAAATTTATTAATTATTATTAATTCGTAATTAATAATTAATTATTAATTAATGAAAATTAACAATTAATATATAATAATAACATTATTTGATAATAACAATAACTTATTTTTTTCCAATGGCAAAACACAATGAAATTTTGGCTCAACAAACTGATAGGGGGTGATCAAGATTTAAATATTCAACAAACAATATTTAAAAGAATTTTTAAAAATAATTGAAATAGAAAATACGAAATTAAGAACTGTTAAATGAATGCATTAAAAAAACCTAATTTCTGATCAATAAAAATATAATATTATATTTAGAGATAGGATATTGTAACAACCAGTTATTGTTACTACAAATCAATTTCACTGTTAGATTAAATTATGTTCATCCAACGGTTATATTTATTTTCATCTTTGTATGATTATCATTTCTCCTATTTAATACTTTATATATATTTTTATCTTTGTATGATTATGATTTCTCATATTTAATGCTTTCATATTAAATATAGGAAATCGTAACCATACAAAGATAGAAATAAATATAACCGTTGAATTAACATAATTGATCTAATGATAAAATTGATTGGAAATAACATTGGTAGTAAGTAATAACACTAGTTGGTTGTTATAATAATATCTTTCCCCTTCTATTTATATATTTTTGACAATATATAATCTGTAATATTATTTTAAGTGAAAATATTACTCACTTCTTAGTGTGAAGGGAGCACTAAAAAATAAAAATCCTCTAAAATTTCACCTCGTTAAATTATTAGTGTTCATTAGCTCTTTTTAATAGAGTGATCAGGTTTTGCCGGGTTTCGAGATCAGATCCTTGAATTCACAAGATAAAGTGTCACTATCAAGTGTCAACTATGGGTATAATAACGAGCTTTTTATCACTATAGTCTTTTTTTAATAATTAATTATCAAATTGATTTTATTTATAAATTATTTTAAAAATTTAACTTCTTCAGAAAACATAACACCAATCTGTCCCTGTTTGACCGTTGACCATGAAGCCTACCCGGGTACACTCTTTCCTGCCCAGATATATTTTGAAATTTTTTACCTACTCGAATACACCTCTCCCTATCCGGGTATATTTCTTGAATCTGAAAAAAGTTTGAATTATTTACCCTGGTAGAGAGCCAACTACCAGGTAAATATTTGAGACTTTTGGCATTCAAACCATTCGTGTAAAATTGCATATATTGCTGATTGGTGCAATTTATTTTACGGCTGTTTTCAATTCCTTTTGCAGAAACAAATAAAAAGGAAGGAAGGAACAGAAAAGCCACGCTTTAAATTTTCCTTATTCTTTGAAAACATTAATCAACACCCATTATTTAAAACACCGAAAAGTTCAACAGCATTGATTCGTGTGCAATTTATTTTACCGCTGTTTTCAAAAAATGGGACTATACATTGAATTACATTTCTTACCCATCTTATTTTATTCAAAAAATCTATTTTATATATATATATATATATATATATGAGGTAGGATCATTTGACATCAGTGTCAAATTTAAAATTTGACACCTCATATGATAGCCGTTAGATCAAAAAAATCAATGGTGTCACATGCTTACGAATCAGAGTCGTTCATCTTTTTTGATCTAATGACTCTTAGATGAGTTGTCAAATTTTAAATTTGACACTGGTGTCAAAGGATCCTACTTCTCTATATATATATTTAATCAATTTATATCAATGTAACCGCTGTTTTCAAAAAATGGGACTACTTCCATTCAATCTCTTTTTTATGCTAAATATAAGATGAGAAATACTGCAACATATAATTTATTTGTTGCAGGCTTTAAATGCTGAACTGTAAATAAAAAATCTCAATTTGGTTATAGATGTCTCCAAATAAAGTCTATGGCATACCTGGTCTATTTTGCCTCCTTGACTATAAGATATTGAGTTTCACCCTTTTTTTCTGAAATTCTGATAAAATAATAGATATGTGCCAACTAAGAAGAACAGAGATAGGTGGAGGCTAGATAGATAAAGTCGGAAAATTCTTATAATAAAACTCAAAAATTAATCGTAAAATTCACAACTTATTGAATGAGGAAGAGTGTGACTTCATTCATGGCATCGAAAATGAAAATCCTATTTTAAACGTTTCAGCTTGTAATAATTATTTCAGTCCACCGTGCGCATAGAAAAAAGAAAAGCGTGACTTCGTGGCATCGAAAATGAGGTACTGTTATTTCATTTTCAAGCTAAGTAAATAAGTAAAATAGTCTCTTTGATTTCATTGCATGTGTTTTATGCTTTCTTCTGACTGTCTCTCTTTGTGATAATTTTTCAGAGGCCAGATAAGAACAAACAAACAAATGACCTTCTAACAAGAAAATTTACCCGGGTAGCTGCCTCCCTACCTGGGTAAATAATTCAAACATTTTATTAGATTCATGAAATATGTTCGGGTATCTCCCTCTTTATTCGGGTAGGTAAAATTTTTCAAAATATACCCGGGTAAGGAGGGGTGTACCCGGGTAGTCTTCATAGTCAACGGTCAAACAGGGACAAATTGATGTTATGTTTTTTTGGAAAGATTAAATTTTTGAAATAGTTTATAAATAAGATCAATTTAGTAATTAATTATTAAAAAAAGGCTATAATGGTCAAAAAAAACCTATAATAATGAGTACCCTTCCATATTAACAAAGGTGCAAAAATATTTTATAAAAAAGTGACAATCAAAATGCTTAGATACACTTATTTTTTTGGATAAAAATAAAACATGTCTGTTAAAAAAAAAAAAACACAAGTTTAATTATAATTAAATAATAAAGATTACACAAACGGAGCATGAGTAAGTTGAACTTGTAAACAGTGTTGCTTATCTTTAGTCCTGAGAAAATTTAATATAAACACGGCCCTATTGTATAATTTTCATAGGAAAGCAATTCCTATAAAATAATGAGAAATGTTATATTTACGATCAATTTTTATTTATAATCTTTTACAATTATATCTTAGTTGTTGATTTTCGTTAATTAATAGTTATCATTTATTATAAATTAATAATTAATTAATAAATTGATATTGCGAAAATTATAACCATTAATTGACAAAAATCAACAGTTAAGATATGACGAAAATATGTTGTAAGTATAATCTTCTCTTAAAATAATATAGTCACGAAACTTAACAGTGACGAAAATACGACCATGGTTCTCTCTTCTGATAAGCCTTTGGTTTTCTTGTCGCTTTCCCCTCGCACTCAGAAATTATAGAGTCTGTTTAATTGTGTTTTATGTTTCTTTTTTCTTAAAATTGTTATAAAATAAGTATTTTTATTTTATTTTAAAATTTAAAAGTCAAAATATAAAATAAAAAACTCATATTTTCATAATTTGATTAAAAAAACGAGGTAGGTTATACTTACAACTTTTTTTTTACAACCATATCTTAACACCGTTGATTTCTGTCAATCAACGGTTATGATTTTCGCAAATTAAACTCATTAATTAATTATTAATTCACAATAAATGATAACCGTTGATTGACGGAAATCAACGGTGTTAAGATATGATTGTAAGAGGTTGTAAAAAAAAATTGTAACTATAATCTTTTTCTAAAAAAATAATTATAACTTTTAAAAAAAATTACAAAACAACTCATATCAAAAAAAAGTTTATAATCTCCGCAACCAAAACCAACCCTTTCAATGAAAGTTAAGGGGGCGTTTGGTTTCATGCTGTTGTAAATAATTATTTATTAGTTATTATGTAGTCATTTATTTGTTGTATTGGGCCAAGCCCATTAGGTCAAAATTAGGTCAAGTATTCTCTATAAATAGAGAACCATTTGTATAGATTATATACAATTCAATAAAATTTCAAATACCCTTTTTCTTTCAAGTTGGTATCAGACCTCTCGATCGCTCTGCTTCCGCGCCTATTGTCTTTAGAACAAGAACCTTTTATTCTTTTTGTCTCTCGCTGCCATCAGCCGCCACCGAATTTTTTCCGGGGACCTCTTGGACCGAGAAGATCTCTGTTATATTAGATCTCTGTTACTGTTCATCGTCTCTGTTACTGTTCATCGTCTCCATTATTCTTCATCACCACAATACAGCATCTGTTCATCACGATTGGACCCTTTCCCGGTGGTTTTTCAACTCCGAACAGACCCAGAAAGAACCGCGCTCACCGGACGACGTTGCTCCAAAAATTTCAGACCAGACGGCCACCGCACGAGCCCACACGCGCCGCTCCTTCAACCGCGAGTGAATCCCACGCGCAGCCAATCTCACCGGCACGTGAGACCATTTTTCCGGATCGGACCACCGCGATCTTGATCGTCCCTTCATCCTCTTTATGGATTTGTGCTCCTCTCTTTGATCGGACATCGTTTGGTATTTATTTGTGATTTTTTGGCTTCTTGGAGCTTTTCTTTAACCATTTTCTGTGCAGTATGACCTCTTCTCAAAGGAGTTCTTTTTAAATTTTATGATGGTACCTCTTCTAGACCTAAGAGAGATGACCGATGGTGTTCTTATTGTAAAAGAATAGGTCATATCAAGGATTTATGCTTTCGCCTTTATGGAAAGCAAACTGTCTTAGAAAAGATGGCAAGGATGCATGGTCAAGCGCATTTTACTTTTTCTGAAATAACCCCTGCACCTAATGAGACCCAATCTGCATTTCGTCCAGATGAGTTGGAACGACTCCGAACCATTCTTGATTATCTGAGTAAGCTATCTGATACTAGTGCTTTGGCTATGACTAGTATGAGCTCCAAAACTTATTCTTTCATTTCTTCATGTAATGATTTTAAACATTCTTGGGTTGTTGATTCTGGTGCTACTGATC